GAGGCAAGTATAAATGCTGGACCACCACCACCTAAATTTTATCACACAGACCCGTGGGGGCTTTGCCCCCACACCCCTAATTCACAATTCTACAACGATAATATACTTTGTTGTGTTAATATCAGAAATATAAAAAAATTATTATAAAATTAGTATAATTAATAGTATTAGACATTAGTTGACCTCTATACACTAGTTGTTCTCTATACATTTTATTATAGGTATTTTAACTCTAAAACCACTTTTTAGTGAAGTTATGACTGTTTTTCGTGGACATGTTTATACCGTTGAAAATAAGCGGTATAACGTCCTCTTAATTACTTCGTATTATATCGTTATATATATATATATAATTATATTGTTAGATATAAAAGTCCAATACTTTGTATAACAATATAATATAGCACTGATAAAAATAATACAAAATACAAAATATTTGTACAAAAGTACATTTTTATAAAAAAAAACCGAAACGTGCAATTTTGTGCAAAAACCCAAAAACGTGCAATTTTGTGCAACATAAAACTTTCTTAAAATTAATCTACATCTCTTGATTTGGATTTGTAGCTTGTTTCTATTGAATTTAGAACACGCCATAAAAAGATGCAATTGCACAGGAATCCGGTCTTTAATGATAGTATTTCAAAGGTATTATTTTTACAGACCCCTGGACCCCCCTTAATCCGCCCGAAACTGGAATCGTTATTAGAATCGTAGAGTAGAATAGAAATATTTTAATTTATTTATTGAACGGGTAGAGCCCTAAATATAATTATTTTATTTTATTTTTCTATAAACGTTCAAGCAGACAATGAAAGTATTTACATTTCTAACATTTCTAATATATAATATAATTTATATTTGTATATACTTACTTAATTTTTTTGTTTCGTCGTAGTGAAAGGGAACTAGTAAATTTTTTTTTAGATGACCGTTTCCGTTTCTGCTTATTTTCTTTATTTGCCATTGTCAAAAAAAAAATGGAAAATAATAATACAAAATTCACAAAAAAAAAAATTGAACACGACGACACAGAAATCCCGAAGAAATGATGTGATCACAACGAATTACCCAGGAGGAATGGTTGTGACGGTTGTGTATATGCATCAAAATTGAATATTTATTTTTGTACCAATTATTGAAAATACAGCTATTCATAGTCTCATATTGTGACTTCCGCTAACATAATTCGTAATGAGTATAGGATTAGGGACTTCTAGGAATTTGCATGTTTTTCAATAATCATTCAAAACATAGCTTAGTAACATAGGAATTTGTTTCATAACAATAGTACAATACGAGTTTATAATCAAAATGTATGGTTGCATATTTTACATATTTGACCATTTTTAATTTAAAAGTGCATATTTACTTTGACATTTTATTTTTTTATTTTTGTTTAATTGTCATAATAGGCATACTTGTGTAAAAATAAAATAATAAATACTAATACCAATAGTATTTTTTACCAGCAACTTACCATAATGTATAGAATGTATTCCGTATGAAAAGACGGATATTTATTAGGTGGTGTAGGTACTTGAGTTATTATAAATTATGCATAGGACTTTGAGCCCTTTGAGGTAGATACCAGGTATACCTACTATCTGAAAATATTAGTATGTCCGTAATAATAATAATTTATAATTTATATTAATTTATAATATTATAAAATAGTAAAACGAATAAGAGTTTGTAGATCGTAGGTGGAATGCTATCAATCGTCAAGACCAATTTTAATATTATAATAAAAATAAAAACAATTATTAGCTTATAAAATATTGTCATTTTATAGTATTAGATAGATAATAATGATATTGTTTATATTAGTTCGGTCTATTCCTGGAAGCTTCCGATAACCATCGACCGACCGTCACCGCGCGATAGTCGAAGCGGATATTCAGTTTTTGGAGTAGTGGGGGGAAATCGCGACCGACCTCTTAACGGCATGCAGGTAGCAGCACATTACAGCAATGAAAATATTAAATCAATCTACGTAAACATGTTTACGGAAAACAAACAAAACAGCATTAAAAAGCGATTTTAGAGCGAAAATACCTATTATGAGATTTAGAGAAAACAATATTTCGGAGACAACCTCATCGGGGTTTTGTATTATTTTAAATATATAGCTCCTTATAATAGGAAAAAAAACCTTTTTTTTTTACATTTTTTAAACAACTGTAACTTTTGTAATAATTTATATTTAAAAAAACGCCAATGAGGTTGTCTCCTAAAAATTCTTCTCTATACATTTCATAATAGGTAATTTTACTCTAAAACCATTTTTTGGCAGCGTTTTGTTTGTTTCTGGTAGACCTGTTTTTACCGCTAAATATTACGGGTGTAACGTCCTCTTAACTACACTCTTTTGACGAGGCGCGTTCATTTTGAAATATGGTACGCCATCTATCGGAACAAAGTGTCAGTTTTTACTTTAGTACCATAACAAAATTTACCGCTGTACGCAATATCGCATAATCGTTAAAATATGACAATAGTTTATAATCTCCTTTATTCGTTAGTGGCCGGTAATAAATCGTTCTATGGATAAATCATAATGTAAATTGCCTAATATTATTAATTTTATTATTCTGTGTAATAAAATATAAAATATAGTTGATGGTCTATCGATAAAAAGTTATGTACTATTAATATATTTTAATTTTTAATAATATTTAATGATTATACTATTAGACTATTATTAATTATATAACTAATATTCAATATTATTTAATATTATGATGTAAAAATAATTTGAAGAAGACGTGCCAGAATATCTAGATCAATGTTTATAGAAAACAATCTATAAACCACGCTTCTAGATATTTCACCAGGTAGGTACTTGTTATCTCATCGCGTTTTTCTTATCAACGTTCAACGCCATAACCGCAAAAATCGTGTTTACAAAGCAGGCTATCAAGTATCAATATTATAACTGTCTTGACTTGTAACTATAATTCAAACAATTCAACAGACAGAAGTTTACCGGTAGACGGGAATTATTTTTCAACAATATTAATTCGTTTTTTATTTATCGCTTTATTCTAATAACTTATATGTAAGTAAGATTATTATATTATACTCAAGAGGTCTTGTTTTATATGGCTGTGCGATTTGAACGATAAATTTGTGGATGAACATTACATTCTTGTGTCACACAATGTAATACAATTTGTTCCAAGGTACCTATGTAAATTATAACTAAATAAATCTTCAAAATAAAATAACTGGTCAAGTATAAAAATATTTTATCCGATTCTACAGTAAGTGGAAATTTGATGAGGGTGCCAAATCCCCATATTGTGCTAATTTTTTTATATTTGTCTTACTTAGTACCTAGTTAATTGTTCATTTAAAATTATGTAAATAAATAATATTAACTACAACATGGTTGGTATAAATTGTTGAACACGGTCTTACAACCGTTTTATAAATTATCGTTAGTATCTGATTATGTATCATGATAGTCCACGGTGGTTATAACTTGTAATCAAAATAGATATATAATTTGTATTAGGTAATTCTTTACTTTGTCTGATCAATAACAGTTGAATAAATACAACTATAAATACTTTTGAAATTTTGATTCAGATCTATATTTTTGACTTAATTTGATTTAGTTATTTTGTAACTGATAATTTCTATACTAATTACTAGGTATTTAAAGTGAATTGAATTTCGTTGAAAAACTATTTTATTTATTTGATTGTTTAACCTGTTGTTTTAAATCAATTTTTATAATTAAACAACATAATTTTATTATAATATTAATTATGTTTAAACCTAAAATAACTACCTAATTAGTGATTATTTCTGTACAATTTACAAATAAAAGTTATAGATGATAATATTAGTTTGTTTATTAATTAATCTCTCTTACTTACTGACCTAATTACCCCTAGAATAATTAAAAATACCTACATTATTATTATTTTTAATTATTTATTGCCATTAAAAAAAATTACTGTATGTTACTATCCTTAAAAAAAGATTAGCTGGTGCTACTGGGCCAAGGAACATTAACATATTAACAATCTTACTAAAGATTACCATTGAGATACACAAAATTATAATCGACTTCGATATAAGCATACAAATATACAATTATCTATTTGGTGAGCTATTAATTATTATTGAGACAATGCGACTGATCGTTCACCGTTTAATATAAATAGGTACCATATTTATATTTATATAAGTTTATATGACAGTTATAAATAGAATTCTACACATAAGTAGTATATTTATATAGATTGTTGGTTACTTATTTGCAGTTTATTTAGTAGCATTTGCCTTCCTTTGTTTTTTTATTTATGTGTAATTTGTATTTGTTTCAGAATTTTGTGGATGAATCATATCTCAAGTTATAAATTTACAAATATAATTTTGTAGTTTAATCTATTTTTAAACAAGGTAAGTTTAGTCTTCTTACTCGTTTTAAGTTTTTTGTTTTGACTTTTATTAGATACCTATTTTAAAATTAAATACTCATACTTCAAAAAATGTATGATGATATTATTTTGTTGTAAAAGTTTGTGCTGATATTACCCATTTAAAAAAAAATTAAATACACTGTCCCACGAGAGAACATGTTGGCTCTGTTCCCCGCTTAACCCTACTATCAAAACTGGTTCCCTATATAGCAGTGTGTTGTGTGGGAGAAAAACCGATTTGGTTCGGGGCACAGCATGTGCCATGTTCTCTCGTGGAATAGAGTATAGGTATGTTTTAAATTTAATTAATATGTACCTATTAGTAAATTATACAACAATATAATATATAATATTATTTTTTATAGTAAGAACATAATTTATCATAGTAAATAAATGTTTCATTTGTTGATAATAACTTATTAAGTATATCCATAGAATAATAATATGAGTACACCATTGAAGATACTAGTTTTTTTCTTGTTCTTTGTTTATATATTTAATAATAAAATTGTGTTATTTTCTTATATTCTATAATATTTAATTTTTTTATTTAGGCAGATTGAAATGGCTTCATTCGATCTGAGAAGAGAACTTCATTCTAGAGGACCTCCAGTGAATTTGAATAAAAGTGTGTCCACAAAGAAACATACACTACACTTTGATGGCCGTTTTGTTAGCAAATCAGACCGCTACCAGTTAGAATCGTATGGTCTATATACACCTAATCCTGTACTTGAAGGGTTAAGTATATCACATAAGAATAAATTAATATGGTCGGCTCGTTTGTCGGATAGTCTATGGGCATGGTTTGTTTATGGTCGCAAACTTCTAGTATGGAATGCAGAAAACAATAAAGAAAATAAAACAAATCCTTGTTTTGAACTTGGATTACCAGCAAGTGAAGTGGCTCATCAAGCTGCTCTAGTTTGGGTTTTTGAACCTGAAATAGGAAAGTCGTCATCTCATGCTTGTTGTATAGCTGTATCTCCTGAAGGGTTGATACGTTTTTGGAGAGACGTCTATGACGAAGTTGAATATTTTGAATACAATACTGATTTGATGGGAAAAGAATGTGAATTTCTATATCAAGTTGACAGTTCAAGGTACATTTTGTTGACAACTACTGCTGATTTGGTCATGGTAACAATCAACATGGATACTGTTCGCCCTCTAATAAGTAGTAAAATATTGACTGAATCTACTGGTTGGCTGGGTAATATATCTATGAACATATCATCTCTTGTTTTTGGTTCAACTGGTCAACAGACTGACCCTAAAACCATATGTGGCTGCGTTTTAAAAAGTTCTTCTGATTATACTGAACGCATATATATAGTTACAACTAATGGTACAACCTTAACTAAGTGGAATGTTTCAAAACCAAATAGCGAGAAACAATTATTTGAAGTAAACTTGGCAAATTCTTTACAAGAAAAATTTTCAATTTTGATGTTTAATAGTGTTAGTACTGGTGATATGGATATGGAAATAATTGACATGAAACCAACTAATAATCGGAGTGAAGAGGTTATTGTTCTCATACACACCAAACCAAACCAAGCTTACAATTATTATATCTTAGCAACCATACAAATTCAAGATAGTAAGTGTCCAATCACTTCATTACATGTTCTTAATAACGTTGAAAATTCCTACTTGAATGAATCTACACCTCAGCTGCTAATTACTGAACAACAAGCATTTATTTTGTCTAAACATTATGTCCTTGTTGTTACATTTGAACCATTCCAAACTGATGTCATTGGTGTTGATTGTGATTTAAAATTTGGTGGAGGTTCAGTGGTAAACAATTACGGTATGTTTTTCACTCAATCTCATTGTTTAACTGTAGTCACTAAAATAACTAACGTAGAATACGATTTCAATGAATCAAGAAGTGTTCTTCAATCTCCAGATTTAAATCAATCCGCTGCTATAACTGCTGAAGTAGAAAGTGGTAGCAATGAAACTAGATTGAAATCCGCTTTTCTACAATTTGTCAGCCGAAAAATAGACAATTGCAGAGCACTAGTGAAGCAAGCATGTCCAGAAGAATTGACTTCAACTGATGAATCTAACCTAGATAAAACCGTATTTAAAGTTGGAGAAGATCTTGTTAATGATATACCCATCAATGATCCACGTTGGTTAGGTGTTCATGGTGAACCTACTATTAGATCATCATCAATGGTAATATTAAGTCATTTAGAAGAAAAACAGCAAGCAATTCATTGGTATCTTAAATTTTTACAAGAGCTTGGATTATGGAATCGTATGAGGCAAATTAATAAATATGAAACTCAAGTCTATACTGGATGTGCTTTAAAAGATTTAAGTGAAAAATTACAAGCTACGTTAACATTTAGAAAAATTGAAGTTGAACATAGTGAATTATTAGATTCATTAATAAAAGAAGCAGTCGAAAGTAATTGTGATAGTTATTCTTCACCACCAGGCCTTACACACATTGATAAGTTTTATAAACAAGTCAGCATGTCGCACATTCTTTTTCAGAGACTATGTACATACAGTGAAGAAATTTCTTCTACGAATCGTAGTGCTATAGATATTTGTTTAATTTTATGCAATGTCAATAGAATATTAGTGAAAGTACTTGGTGCTGTATTAGACTACAGAAGACAAAACATTGAGTTTTTCCCTATTGACAAACAAAAACAATCAAAAATATCTTGGATTATATGTGAAAATAATGAAGGCATATGTTCTGAGCTGATAAAACAAATAAATATTAGCCTTGAATTTGCCAGAAAGACAAATATTACCAAAGAAGTTCGTTCAGAAATTTCTGATCAAGTTGCATTTTTAGTAGATGCCTTACTATCCAGTTCTATTGATGTAATTTCTGAAATGGACAGAAATTACACACAACTCAGGTATAAGCTACTTAAGAAACTTATGGACTTTAAAGAACACCACAAAGTAATTGAATTGGCTGAGAAATATGCAGACCATAGAGTCATAGTAGAGGTTTGTTTTGAAACAAACAATATTGATTTATTGTATAATTTTATGGACAAACTTAACGATCAAAATTTTCGTCAAACCGTGTTTTCTTGGTACTTAGAACAAGGTAAAATTGTAGAATTGTTACGTAATTTTTGTCGCAAACCTAAGTATGAACATGACATAGCATTAGCATTGGAAGCCTATCCAAATTATGGTTGGATAGCTGGAAGTCTTTCTGAAAATATTAACCTAACATGTGAATCCCTAAAACAGTGCTGGTCTAAGGAGGAAACAAATGTGCTTCGAAAAAAATACCAATTGAATTTATACAGAATGGCGGTTTTGGCAAAAAATGGGCCATTAGCTAAGAACCCAGAGTTGGATCAAATAGATAGACAGTTGGAAGTTATTGAACATCAGATAAATATTCCTGAGTGTGTCTTAGAATTATTGAATTTAGATTTGAATAATATGCGTGTGTTATCTCCTGAAGAAATTTTCAATTTATACTTGCACAAAAACAATAGCACCTTGGATGAAAATCAATGTTTACGTGCTTTGTCCGTGTTACAATTTATTGAAAATAAAGAAGAATGTGAAGATCTCAGTCGCTATTTGTGGTGTGAAACAATATTAAGAGAGACATTAAAATATCCACTTCATGACCAAGAGATTGATAATCCTATTGAGTTTATACAAAATCTTTTATTCTTTAAGACCTTAAAACTCATGTACAACAAAGGCCTATTAGATATCTTACCATCCTTAGACTGGTTGTTGTTTGCTGATGAATTAGAAAACTTCCATTCAAATACTATGTGGCAGTTTGTTATGAAAATGGGATTTGAGCATTGCTTAAGACCTGCTAGTGTTAGCATGGATTTTGAAACTTCACTTGTTCAGTAATTTATAAATATTGATTTCAAAATCTATTAATTTTTTTATATATTATGTGTATTATTTTAATGTTACATACATAATGTTTTTAACAATAAAAAAAATGTAAGTCTTTATTAAATACATTTGGTTTATTATTCTGATTGGTTGTTGATATTATATTATTTTAATTGTGTTCCTACAAACAAATGTAATATTATTGAATATCAATTATTCTAGTTCAACGTTTCATATATAATATTATGCTGTTTAATAAAATGTCAGTTATACTAAACTTTATTTTAGAATTTAGTTACTACCTTAAAAAATAATATATTCCAACTATATTAGCACTCGCTGTAGGTTCTATAAATATTATTTGTATGGTTATTTTAAATAATTTGAGATTGTTGTTACTACTTATGGTCTTAATTAATTAATAAATTATCAACAAAGGAAGAAAAAAAATAGTTTCTACAAAAAATATGCACGGTTAATAATTCACTTGATATGTAATTTCAAAATAACTATATATTGTAGGTAGGTAATACTAGGATATTGAAAAAATAATAAAAATATACCTTTGATATAGCCATATAGGTAACTTAATTACAATATTTTATAGTGTAAATACTAACTTGTATTATTATAATTTCTATTGAGAATGGTTGTACAATTATTTAATTGAAAATAAATTAAGAATAACAACCAATAAACAATTGTTTTAGAAGCACATCAAAAAAGAATTCAAATTATGATAAAATTATTAATTAAAAATGTTAACATCTATTTAATACACAATTATATAGTGTTACTGATCATCGTACTAGTTGTTTAATTTATGTTGACTACCTATTACAATTATTTTTATTTACTTTACAAAAAAGATACAATAAATAATTATATAACACGGACGAGCATACATTTGCAAATCATAATCAATGGACAATAATGATCTTATACTACTTAGTATAGGTAACTATTTTTTGTTTTACCATAATTTTTATTTGGCAATCTGTTACAGTAATAGAACAATTAGCTTAATTAATATAATAGCATAAACAGGAAGCACAGTTTTTTCTGCACTTCCAATCTCTGTATTCATTTCTATAACCTCCAAATGTTCAATAGCTTGAAGATTTTTAAACAAATCTAAATCATTCATGTTAAATAGGTACAGTCAAAAAAAAAAAAAAAAACACTTGAATCAAGCAGCACTGCAGCAGAGTAGCACAACAAAAGTCGACAATTGATTACGCATTTCTGTTTTAGACTTTGGTAGGTACTAAGTCATAACATATCTAGGTAGGATTAATGAGATATTCTGTTTTTGCTAATAATTAAATACATTTTATAAATTTTGTTACCTAATTATTGTAAAAAGACTAAAATTGTTTCGCCTCCCCCGCTATATAAATACCTATATTGGCTATATTACCTATATTAATTAATAATTGGTCATAATAAGTAATAAATAATTAATTGGAATGCATTATAATAAATTAATAACTATACAGTGTGTTCACGCTAAGAGGTACCACTAAATATCTCAGACGGGTGACAATGTATTGAAATGGGGTTTTCGGGAGGTGATAGGGAGCACTTAAATACATATTTTCAGACCAGTTTAAAATTTTTAGCTCACTAGTTACGCGCATGCGCAGACTTACTTTTTTTTTTAAAGGCAACCAAGTTAGAGTAAGTCAAAAATTGGATTTATGCATAATATGTGTTTAATGCAATTTTCATTTATAACCACTGGAATTAATAAAATAAGTGCCAAATAAATGTTTAATGGGGGATGGAGTGGCCGAGCGGACTAAGCCGTCGGTTGCGACGCGCACCGTCGCCAGTTCGAACTCGGCTACAGGTGGCATATTTCTTCTGGCAGTCAAGGTGTGCAAGAGAGAGAGGCCGACATGGCGACACCCCCCCACCTGGGCTTGGCAGATACCTACGTGTGTGCTTATTTTTGGCAGAATTTTTAAGTGGGCACCAGTAGGTTTCTGCCATGCCAGGGCGGGGGATTACGGCCTCTTTCTCCAGACACCGTGACTGCCAAAATAAAAATGCAAAACATGTATACATTTTTGTTTTTTTTTGGGGGGGGGTTGAGGCTTTGACAACAGTTTATTAGCCTGTGGAACTGTGTGGAGGGTACTGCGTAAGTTTTGAACACGTGTGTGTTTGTTTTGGCACAATTTTCGAGTGGGCTTTCGTAGGTATCTGCCATGTCCGGGTGGGGGATGGCGGCCTCTCTCTCTGGACACCGTAACTGTCCGAAGAAAAAAGCCTATATATTTTACATGCATATTGTATATTTTTACGATAATATGTCCAAAGTTTACACGAAAATAATGAGACGTAATAACCACGATATTAGCCATAGGTATAACTGTATAAGAAAAAAATGTGTGAAATATAATAGGTACCTATATGCCATATAAGCATATATCGGTATAAATAATAATATAATTAAAAAGACGTGTATTAGCGTAATATGTATTGAGCTAATACTATTAGGGTAAGTAGGTACCATAGATACAAGGTACATAGTAATTAAATCGACCGCCATTACTAAAGCTCTAATATAAGCTTTTTAAAAGTTTTTAAAGAGCCCTACCATTACAGCGTAAACGATTTTTTGTATACGAATAATAGGATTCTACTACGATACCGGATACACCACACGACCCGTTAGTAGTTTAAAGTAGAATCCGATTTTGTCAAAGTAGTAGAAAAAGTACAAATATTCAGTACGAATATCGTTTTCTACTGCTTTCAAGGATAGGCCCCAAGAATAGATGCAGATGAGACACGAGAAGAGCAACGAGCAACTATGTGCGTTCGTGGTCATGATTAATGAATCATGATAGAAGAGAGCCGAGACCGTCAGTGCCGATTCAAAACTCTATACTTTTTAGATTAGACATAAATAATAAGGTATAATTGCAGTTTAGCTACCACGAGATTTTTTCAATTTTTTTTTTCGAAACCTAGGTAAATCAACGTTTTAAAAATGATGGTGCCAAAAAAAAATTGCGCAAACTCTTAGTTTTTGAGTTATAACTGTTAGAAATTCAAAAACTCCCAAATTTTGAATTTTGAATTTTTTTTTGTGGTAGACTTATGTATTTTGACTATTTAAAAACGATGGTGCAATCAGAATTTGTCGATCGAATTTAGTTTGAAAGTTATAGCGGTTTTAAGTTAAAAATTTTGGATTTTTAAAGAAAAATTTTTTTTGTTGAACCAAGGCGCCAAGTGAGGTAGTTGCACCTTACCTGCTCCGGTTATATTTTTCAGATATATAATTTCTCTGAATCCAAATATCGTAAATATAAATGTTTCTGTAATTGGCAAAAAACAACTTTGTTTAATTCCGAGGTTCACCTGAGGTGGTTTTACACAACAAATCGGGGGATATTTTCGATTTGCGGAGCGGAGCGACGGCGCCGAGGAGCGTAGCGACGAGTGCCAATACACTCGTGATCACTGCAACTTTTAACTTTCATAACTTAAAACCGCTATACTTTCAAACTAAATTCGATCGACAAATTCTGATTGCACCATCGTTTTTAAATAGTCAAAATACATAAGTCTACCACAAAAAAAAATTCAAAATTCAAAATTTGGGAGTTTTTGAATTTCTAACAGTTATAACTCAAAAACTAAGAGTTTGCGCAATTTTTTTTTGGCACCATCATTTTTAAAACGTTGATTTACCTAGGTTTCGAAAAAAAAATTTGAAAAAATCTCGTGGTAGCTAAACTGCAATTGTTCCTCATTACAATATCATACACTTACTAGTTACAACACGGACTAAGATGTACTTATATTTTTTATTTTATAGTATGCCTTAGTCCTTGACTTAAAATTAAGATTAAAAGTATAATTTATTGTAAAAAACGAGAAATACAATATAGATATAATAAACAAGTTTCAAGCTCGTCCAATAAGCACATGCTTGAATTCTAATGATCTGAGTTCATATTAAAAATGAACTAAAATGAAAATAAATTTAACTTTATGTTATGTCATATTACAACAAAATAAAGTAAAACAAAAAAGATTTAATTTTATATTAAATATAAGAGAAAATATTATTAATATATAGGTATCTTATACTTTGTGAAATTACAAAAATTGGTTAAATTAATAATATATTTATGTAATAACAAGCCTCTTCTAATTATTAGACATTGAGTTCCAAAATAAATGCCATTAAATGGTATAATTAAATTACAATTATTTTATGATGTTGTATTTACAACCATACAAAGGATGGAATTTACTTGTATTAACTTTAAACATACAGTATAATACAATATGCAGTTCATAAGTTTTAACCAAAAGTTCAATCCTTTAACTCATGGTAAATTATATTAGTAAAATATGATTTAGTTTTGTTAAGAATGATTTTTATTAATTAATTTATAGTTTAGGGTAAGACATTGTTGTGTATAGGAGTATGTGAAGCCACACATCAAAATCAAATACAAACATTAAATATAAAAATCTTGATTTAAAAATAATAAACCTATGTAATAATACATTTGCATTCAATATTTTGATAATAATATTTTTTATACACTTCAATGTGATAATGTTCCTTTGCTAGATAGACCTTATAAGATGGTATTCATTTCATTATTAGTTAAAAAAATATCTAAGTATTCGACTCCATTCTTTTGGCAAAATGTTTTCAACAGAAATTTTAAATCCTGTTAGTAAAAGACAAAAATTAACTAAACAAATAATTTTTATGAACCAGTAGTAGGTATAAAATATTATATGTAGTATAGACTATAGGTACCAGTTTTATTTTAAATATTTGTATTATTATTAAATTAATAATTAATATACTAGTTTTGTTTTATTTACTTGAAATATTTTATATTTATTACTATAATATGTAGTACTAGTATAGTTACAAATTTTGTTTTATTAATTTTAAATATTTTATGATTATTATTATACAAGGTAGTATACCAGTTTTGTTTTATTGATTTTAAATATAGTTTTTCAAAAATAATAAATGGGTGTAAAATTTTTAATTAATTAATTCAGATTGTTTTTAAAAATATTTTACAATAGAACAAATTTTTATAAAATAATGTAATATTCACATGCACCATTACATAATTTACATAACGGTTGAATAAGCTAAAAGTTGATAATATGTATTTAAGACTTATGTAAGTAAGTTAAGTTATTAAGGGGCCTGCACGCGACCTGTTTTTTTGCTCAAAAACATGCCTTACAGGAAAAACTCTCACGCCTCGTAGATTGGTCCGATTTCCGTAATTTTTTTTTTGTTAGATAGAGGAAGACTTCTTACAGGGCGCATTGGACTTGGATTTTCAACATTATTTTTCTAAGTCTTATGTTACAAGTTTGAATTTAATCAATTTTTACAACTTTTTAGTTTTTGTATTATTTTTTGTTTTTAGAGACGTAATCAAAAATCGAAGTCCAATGCGCCCTGTAAAAAATATTCCTCTATCTAACAAAAAAAAAATTACGGAAATAGGACCAATCTACGAGGTGTGAGAGTTTTTCCTGTAAACTATGTTTTGACCGATATAATACACCCTATCAACCCCCCCTAAATAGGTATTGGGTAGTAGATTAGTGGAAAAGTCTTATATTTGAGGTGGCAACTAAAATATAAAATTTAATTTTCAAATTTTATAGAATTGCGGAAAATTTGAAAAATCGCGAGCAGGCCCCTTAACATCATGAACTAACTATACAACTTTAAAGTTTAAACTTATAATTTATAATATTAATCATATTATGACAAATTAAATAACAATAATATCTTTATCAGTATTATGAAAATGTAAACATTCACCTCTTAGATAAGAGAATTTCGGCCATTTTGTTGGCTTCAAAAACATTTCCAAGTTATCTATCTAGTATTTTTATATATCTGTGGTCCGTGGCCATGATTATAAAGAGTTCTTTATAATCGTGTCCGTGGCTTAAGATCTTTAATCTTTAATCGTGATATCACAAATAGAGATAAGATTAGTGATTACCTCAAGTTTGTTTTTAATATGATCTAGAATCCATAGATATTAGATATTAAATATCTATGAGAAATTATTGAGAATCTATTATAGATCATAGAATCTACATGATCACGGACGTCGGACCACGATTTTGAATTTTTGTCTGTTCATGAACAATACAAATCGAGATTAAAGAATAAAGATATACCTTTCAATAGTCTTTATCGTGACGCGACATTGAAGATAATATCTTCTATACCGTCATAATAATTAATATGAGTATTGAGTAGTACTATTAATTAGAGTACCTATGTAATATGATTACTGTTATATAACGGTTATGACGTTATTATATAATAATAATATTATATTACCATTTTGTCTTTGTCTTTTTACTACCTCTACCGGGTCACTACCTTCTATCCTGATGGACAGTAGTAGTATTTGGTACCTAAATACCTAATAGGTATAACACAATGCTAATTTCTTCCAATTTAAATAAACAATACATCGGTGATCCGTGATCGATTATAGATGCAGACAATTTTAGTTTTCATGCGGTAGGTATGTATTTTATTTTATTGTCAATTAAACATTAATTGTTTAATATGAATAAATTAGTTTTATATTATTCGGTTCACTTAGATACATTATTTTTTTTTGTATAAATCATATTTAAGTACCTGATTGTACCTACTTATAGTTTGTATTTTTAGTAATTTCAAATTGTACGAGTATTCGAAGGGAAGATAAGACTTCAGGAAAGGTACTAAAATAAAGTTCAGTTTGACAGTATAATATAATTAATAATAATTTAGTTCCTATGTATTAGTTATACAAATATTATACACTAATACTCTTTGGGCCTGAACATATATGTTTATACATATCTTTGTATAGGTACCTAATATTTGTATAGTAAATGCCTATGCAATGAAAACAAATTAATTATTAGCTTAAAATAATGTTTGTACTCATGTTTTACAGCCATGGAAAGTTGGAAAAAAATTACATATGTGGTGGCCGTTTTTATGTTTCTGATTCAAATACGTCCACTAGAGCCATATTTAACAGCTTATCTCACAGGGCCAAATGGGAACGTTTCTCTTTGGGAGGTACATAAGTAGTATTATTTTTAATCTTGGTTTTAAAATATTTCTTCTTATATAAAAGTATTTATAAGTTAATTGTTTAAATAGACAATTACATGTACATTATTAGGTAAGTATTAATAACTATGAATTTATGTGTGAACTTGGTTATAATTTTAAAATGTAATGTTATTATTGAGTTACCTATAACCTACATAACTGTTGTTGTAATTGACACAACTGTATCTTTGACTCATTGGTGGAAGTTTGTATAATCTGAATTTTTTATGTTACAGGTGGCTAACTCGTTGGAGTCCATTAGATCATACGCTGCTCTTATAGCAACTCTGATAATGTTAATCGTCTCAGACTATCTTCTATACAAGCCGGTGGTCATAATCTTAACATTTTGGTCATGTATCACTTATATTCTCATGGCAGATTTACCAAGCTTAACACGACTAAAAGTTAGTGCTAAGATTACATACATAATGTTAATGATGTTATTATAGTATTTATATACTAATAATTTCAGGTGTCTATGTTCTTCTATGGATCAGCATACTGTACCACAACAGTAGCATCATGTTATTTATTTGCCTGTATCAAAGACAGAAAACATTTTCAAAAGTCTGCCAGCATTGCAGCTGTTGGTTTGCAGCTAGGAAAATTCTTTGGAGACATCTCTGGGCAAATCATAGTCAGCTCAAGTGGAGGAAGCTATGTATCACTGCCATACTGTAATGCATTTGGTTAGTATTTAACAATATAATATGTTTAATTATATTCTTTTTAAAACATGTATAAAATCCTACTCAGTTTCCCATTGTGAAATGGCAGTTGCTTCAATAATACACAATATTGAATTAACACGTCTTAATTTGTTGTACAAATTATATGATAATAATTAATAACATTCAGTGCTTAAATTGGGAAAAAATTAGAAGGGGGAAACAAAGTGTAAAAATAGTGCGTTTCTGAATATTTAAATTTATTGATTACTAATTAGGATATGATTAGTAATGGATCCGCATAAATATATTCTATAGAGAAGAGGGACTTCACCCCATTCCTCTATGTCTACATACAATTTTTAAATAAGTTATAAACATTTCCCAAATTATTTTCCCATTCAAAATCTAATTTTGGATAAATTATTAATTATAACCAATATATTGAATTCTCAGTTTGAAATCCAATTCATTTAATTTAATTTAATTTTTCTGTTGTACCTAATGGCTAATATTGTGATATTCAATTTAATTAAAAATGTTCAGCAAACATATTATAACAATATGAAGTTACAACATTGTTATTAAGTTTCATAAACTCAGCATTATATTATTCACTATCAGTTATTATACTACTATGCCAGTGGAACTTCAATTATTACTTCAATTATTAATCTAAATCCATTTCTTTATTTCAGCTATGTTCTTGGCTACAATTTGGGCATTTTTATTTCCTTCTATTAAACCAAAAAATTCATTGAACACAAACTGTCCTGATGAAAAGACCATGCTCCTCGGAAACAGTGAAACAACTACATCTGACACTCATGAAATAAAATATTGTAGGTAATCATAAACAATAGAAATAAGGCACAATTTATAGACGCATGACAGTAATAAATAATAAGCAATAACCAAACACTAATGTCTTGTTTGAATTCTATTGCTGTTATATTTACATTTTTTTAATGTCTAGGTATTAACAAGGTGGATAAAGATTATAAGATAGTTGTTGTTTTAAAACAAATCTGGTTGGATTTTAAGACTTCACTCTCAAATAAAATTATACTAAAAAAATCTGTTTGGTATATATTTGGCATGGCGGCATATGTTCAGGTACCTATTAAAATGCTTAAAAATAAATGTACGCTTAATGGATTATGTATGAAATATTGAAATTACAATGATTTAATAACTTAATAGTTAATATAATTATATTTATTTAAAAAGTAGTACATTTAACATGATATCTGGTATATATTGTAACTCTATTTGTTATTATTCGTATTTTATATTTTAAAAATATATATTAAGTTTATATTTGGCTTATACTATCACATTATAATTTATAATATTATATTAATTTTATATAGTTAATGCATTGTAGAAATATGATAGTATATGGTATAGCAGTGTTTCTCAACTTTTCTATTATGGCGATCTAAAAATGTTATATTAGTTGAATAGACCCTTCCTCTCAAAAAATAAAGTATGCAATTAAATAGTAACATTAATAAACATTTTTTTTATTTTGAGTTAATAAGGCTTCAACATCTGAGGTCATTAGTCTCAAGGTTTTACATATAATCACATAATTTTATCACAATTTACAATAATCTTAATTCTATTTAATTCTACATTTAACATTGAACATTTGGAAAGAATTTATAATATAAATTGTATAAGAGGAACTTTGATAGATCTATGTCTGGAAAATGTGGAAATATTTCCTGAGTTTTCATCTCCAAATGCTTGTTTTATAGTGAATGGGTTTTCAAGAATTCATCTAAAGCTGTTAAACTTGGGCATTTGAGTATGATGTGTTTGATGATCAAGGGTCTGTCGCATAGTTCGCAGGTTGGATGTTCTTCTTAGGTTATAAAATACAGGTGTATTAAACGAATAAACATTTTTATTATTAGCAATTTCATCATTTTAATGTAATGTATTTCTGAATAATTAATATTGAATTCTGTTAAAATATAATATAAAGATAATAAAAATAAAATTGACATATTATAATATTATTATTACAATTCATTCAGTTGTATGTCTTATAATCTTGATGTGTGGGTAATGAACATATAAGCACCTATGACACAACGGTACCATTGACAATCATTAGCTCATTTAGCAATAGCCGATAAGACAACCTATTTCCCAATACCGAAATAAAATAATACAAAAGTTGCTATAAAATATAAAATGGATACCTGTGTCTAACACTTGCTATACTTCATATAATTACCATACTTAAAGGTATATTTTTATATATTTTATTAATTTTTTGTCTTATATAATTAAGATATTTTCTTGTTATTAGTTCACAAACAGTGATCCATAGGTTGGGAACTGGGAAGCACTGTATTTTAGTATATGGTATTTTAATATTTCATTTTTTATAGGTTTTAAATAATATGAACATACTGTACTCATATGTTGTTAATAAACATGGTAATAATGATATCTTGTCAAATGGATTTGCTGAGTCAATGGTCACATTGTGTGGTTAGTATTTTCAAAAATGTGTATTTGATTAATGTATCTTTTGAGTTTTGGCTAACTTAATCATTAATTTTATTGATATTATTACAAGGTAATGGGTTTTTTTTTTCACATTAGTTTTAGATTATATTTATTATTTATAGCTCCAGTTTTGTAATAAAGGTCGCCTAAAACTGTTTTGAACTATAGTGCGTTTCACAACTGTAACTCATCCCTATCGCGCTTTGTGGTGTTTTTTTTTTTTAGGGTTTTTAAAACTACCGCTTAATAATGCTAGGCAAATTTAAAATTGTTAACAAATATTCTTCTATCCTAGATTGAAAACCCCTGATTGAGACAAAACCGCCACGAGACGCATTAGCTTTGAGTCACAGTTGTTGTGAAATGCACTATAAAGATAGTAATTTCTGTTGATATTATTTGGACCACATTCTTACAATTTTTCTAAAATTAAAAAAAAACATATTGTAAAAAGCTATTAAAAAAATTAAAAAAAGAAGAAGAAATATAAACAGAAAAGAATAAGAGTAGTTAAATAGTTTAACTATCAAAGTATATTATAATACATGATATATAAATATTTTTGTATGGTAACATCACTAAAATCAATAAATTGATGACCAACATCCTTATAATAAAATTAAATACATTAATACTTGTGTACGATCATAGTTTAATATAATTTGACAAGTGACTACTTGTTATAAATATATTTAATACAGTGACATTAGTCAACAAACTGAAAGTGTGCAAAATGTCTTAAAAAATTGATGTGTAGTCATAAAATTACCAAAATTGATTAATTTAAAAAAAAAAAGGTATAAAATATTTCAAAATTGAAGTATACAATATAAACAATAGTAATTGATTAAACTATTATACATATTTAAATATAAATAAAACAAACATGTTACATTGGATATTGTACTAACTTTTAATATTTATTACATTTATGCCTTAGGTGCATTGGGTGCATATCTAATTGGTAAATTGCAATTGGATTGGAATGACTATGGTGATATATTTACATCATTCTGTTCTATTTTGATGGGTGTTTTCATGATGTCTTGTTACTTTTATGAGCATATACAATTAATATATTTGTCATATATATTATATGGTCTAGTTAGTGAAGCAATATTAGTAATAACCTTGTGAGTATACAATTCAATAACTTTTAAGATTATCCAATAAATAAAAAAGTGATACATAGTTAAAGTCAACTATGTCACTTTATTGTAGTTCATGGTGAAAGACAAAAACTACATTATGGAAATTAATCATTTATTGTTTATGCTTAGATGACTTTTTTTTTCTATAAAAACTTTTTGAAATCAATAAAGTTATCCTGAAAAAATTAGCCATTTCCAGTCAATTTGAATACTTAAGTAATCGGATCTAGCACCCAACGCAAAGTGTATTTTACTGTTGATAAATTCAATACTGTTTTTAAAATTTAAAATCAAATGACAAATTTAAAATTTTGAAAATATTCATGGTTTTGCTGATTTTGATTAAAAAAAGTATCTTGATTGAGGATTCTATAGAATTGTCTAATAAAAATAATATAACTTTTTATTAATTTTGTTGAATTTGTATTTTTGTTTGTATTTAGATGTGAAATGGCAAATCATCTAAAGAGCCAATGTTATTCCCTTGTAATAGGGTTTGATTTATTAGGTTCCTTAGTTATGTCTGCTATTATGACGTTTTTCTTTATTCAATTTAATTTTTTAGAAATTACTGTCCCTGGACGAGTAAGTAAAACACATAATATTATACATTCATGTTACTTAAAATGTTTGTACTAATGTAAGAAATTATTAATTTATTTTAGTTTTTGTTCATTGGTGGATTGTACAGTGTCCTTGGAACCATGTTTCTAATCATACACTTTTTCGATGGCGAAAAAGAAAACAAATACTGACTGATATTTATAAATTATTTATTGATTGATATACAATATATACAGTGGCGCAAGTTGGGCTAAAATGTTGTGGGGGGGGGGCTGTAGCCCCACCTGATATTACATTAAAAGTAATCCGTGGGGATGATGTATATATTCTCTTTTAAATTTAAAAAATCACATAAAAAAAAAAATTTTGTATATAAATGGTTGCCATAGTAATATGTAAAACATATTATTCATATAGATTTGGCATTTTTAATGGGCAACGAAGTACATGGGATTAGTTAGTTTATATTATAATTTTCAAACATTAATAATAAGATTTTGTTTTATGTTATGTATAATTCTGTAAAAATGAAATCCCAGAAATATAATATTACATTTCCTTATAATATTTCAAAGTTATTGTAAATATTAATAATAATAATAGTATTATTATTAGGAGTCATTTTTACAAGCTTTACTTATAGATACAATATTTAAAAGATTATAAAATAAAAAATTTTAATATTTCGAATGATCGATACATCAAATAATACAAAATATAATTATCAAACAATAGTTAATGAATGTATTCTTTTAAAAGAACCATTAACATCATATTATGTTATTTCAAATTGTTATATAAAACAAATAATATTATTGTTAATGTTTGAAAATTATTTATTATACAGTGAGTTCCGCTTAATGTGATCACTTTGGTGCAGGTCATTTTGATTCTATTAACCGGTTGATTCTAAAAAGCATTTACAACAATGTTCAACAATTTCCTTACGATTTTTTAAAATTTTGTTTAACGTTGGTTGAGGAATTTTCAGAGCTAATGCGGCTTCTCTTTGAGAACATTTATCCAATTTATCGAAACGAACGAGTATATTTTTTTTTCTTTTATAGTTAAATCATTTCGTTTGGTCGACATTTCAAAAAATACGTCTGATCATGAACAATAAACCGAATAAACTAAATGACTATGACACAAGTACACGACGCCGCGACATACAAAGATAATTGATTGACATAATGTACAACGATATACAGTAATACTGATAAATTCAAAAATAAAATGGTTTTTATAATTAATCAGTTTGAGAACGATAAGATTGTTCATAAAAACGATAAGATTGTTCATAAAAGTGATTCAATTATCCGGTACTTAGTGATTCTAATAAAAGGTCAATTTAATATTAGTAGCATACAATTTGGTTTGGGATTTTCATTTTTGATTCTAATAAACGGTTGATTCTATAAACCAGTGATCACATTAAGCGGAACTCACTGTATATTAATTTTTTCAATGATAAGTAGGTAAATTAATATGGCTATACCTACAGTATATTTTTAATTAAATATTAAAAATGTGGTAATAACACTAATTAGATTTAAAAAAATATTTGATCAATCAATATTTGTGAGTAATATTGTAATCTGGGGATCATTTTCCCTAGGGTCGGCATTTTTTTCCCTGGATTGTTCGTAAGTAGTTTTTTTCCGGGGATTTTTATTCCGCAATTCACGATCTGTATATTATAATTCAGCGCATATACGATATACTGCAAAAGCAAAATGAATTTAGGATACAATATACTGACATAAATCGTTTCCTTAAAACAAATACAGGCAAACAGCTAATGATTTTAACTATATTTATTATAGGCAATATAAGATAATTATAAACTTAAAATTAAAATTAAATGATTAAATTTTTTGCCAAAAAAAAAAAAAATTTTTAAAAATGTATTAATATTTTAGGAAACAATTGAATAACTTATTTTTGTTGGGCTAAGCCCCCCAGCCCCTTCCCTTAGTTGCGCTTCTGAATATACATCATTACCTCAAATATTTTTTATAGTTTTTTTTTATAGATTAATGGTTTATTTGAATTCATACACAAAATTATGAAAATAACCCAAACCTGTGACATTTAAGTATTTATTCAAATTGTATTGTCTGTCTTCAATATAACATTTTTAAATGAGTCATGAAATATTTTTTCCTAAATATTAATACATTATAATTATAAATTATTTAAAATGTATGTATAAACTAATAAATGATCTCAAACAATTTTTGTCAAAGAAATTAACAATAATAAATGTAAAAGAAAAGAATTGTAACAAAAATGTGTAGATTTACTCTGTCCAAATAAGTTTTGAAAAACTGTGCAGCCTTGGAACTGTAGTACTGTTTTGATTTGCTGCAATGGTCGGCAATGCCGACTGCAGCTACAAGACTGCACATCCTCAAACCATGACACTTTTCCGTCGGGATTTCTTTCCAAACTTATTTAAAATAGTTGAGATATAGATATCTCTATATATAATAAATAGTAAGAAACTTGTGTGTTAGTTCGTTGATGATTAAGACTTCACGGCGACCGAAGTTCTCCGCCCAGGACCTAACGTTCTGGGTTGTAACTTAGCAAGCCGGACTTAGTCGCTGCTCTCTTGTTCCGTCCGTTACTCTTCCTCTACCTGCCTCACTGTCACTTCCTCTTCTTAGGGTCAGGATCTTCTCCTCCATCTTATAAAAGATTCTGAACGTCCCATCTATCATTTAGCACAGAGACTCTCGCAGTCTCGCTGGGTGATCGGTCGGTAGGTTTTCAAAGGCTACAGAGAATGGCCATGACAAGAGATTTTAGAACCCAACTTAACATCTAAAGTCCAGTTTAGTTCAAAATTATTGTAACCTACAAATCTAAAATAATTAATGTAATTTCACCAAGAGATTCACCACATACTTCTCGATCTATGTTTTAAATAAATTTCATAAATATTTCACAGTTATTTTTTATATGCATTTAAAATTCAAACATTTGTTGATAAGAGTTAAAATGTCAAGTCTTTAGGCTTTATTTTTGGAGTTACTACTAAAAAGCTATAATAATTAGTATGATGCGGTAAATTGATCGTTTTAAGTCCAGTTTTTAGTTAAGCTCAATTATTGTTAATAATATATTAATAAAATAAAAAGTCATCATTTAATGTAAATAATAATTTGCTTAAATTGAATTTAAATTTGTAAAATAAGTATTATTTATTTTTATTTTTTGGGACTTTGTCCTTGAAATTTGAATAATTTATTTTGGATAATACACTTAGTACCTAGGTACCTAATGTGTAATTTATGTAATTTAATATTTACTAATATTTTATAATGTTTTGGATGCATGGTCAGCGGATTCGTCTGTTTCTTCTTTAAGTGTTTTAAAATATTTTTATCAAAATGTATAGGAATAGGAAAATTCCTCTTTCCCCCCCCCTCAAATACGCCACTGCTCTCGTACCTATATGTTTTACAAAAATTACCAAAAACCGTAAATGGTTAGGTATATTGTATATATAGGTAGGTAGACAGGTAGTTTATGGATGATGGATGAGTATTACATGTTTAATAAATATTTATATTTTACGTAAATACGTAAGAGGTATGTTAACCTTCAATCGTTGGCTGTCGGCAAAATAATTGCTTAATACCTACAATATTGTTCAATAAGTAGGTAAGTGTGTAGTTTATCGGAGTAAATTGTAATATTACTCATTAATATATTTTTTTTCAAGAAAACGTTATCATCATAATAAATTCCTTGTACCCTGTAAAATGAGTTACTATAACACTGTAAATAATAATGATTATGATTTAGTTGCGTATTTAGGAATATTTTATGGAGGGGGTCCTGCTAATTTTCCAAATATATTGAAGTGGGGAGCTCCGCTACAGAAATGTACTAATATATATACTACATTCTGTTTAGATAGGTAGGTATTTATCATTTATTGGACCAATAGAGGTGGGATGGTCCGGACCTTCGAGGACCCCCCATCCCTTAAATACGCCACTTTGTCCAACGTAAATGCATCCGATGCGTCGAAAAACAAAACAGCTTGTATTTCGCCGCATCGGACGCAATTGGAACAGCACGGCCAGAATAGAAATCGCACGTACTCGCCGGATTTACGTTGGTCACGGCTTTATGATTCACCTCAGTAGCCAGTCGGTACTTACTATATAACATACAAATTGTTAATTTAAATTTTAGTAGGTATAGTACTATTATAGATGATTGATCTATATTATTAGCTACCTATATAATATATAGGTTATAATACCTGTATATACAGATATACTAACCTGGTACATACTTTATAATATATTAAATTTGTTAACAAAAATGAATTTAAATTAATTTGTTCACGTTCTTAGCGATGGAAAGCTGGAAAATAATTACGTATAATGTCGCGGTATATATGTTTTTATTTGAAGTACGACCTCTTGAAACATATTTAACAGCCTATCTTACTGGACCAGATGGAAACGTTTCGCTTTCAGAGGTAACTATATTATTATTAATTTATATTACTTATGCGGTTATATACCTACCTACTGTTATACCTATACTCACATTTTAACGTATGCTTTGATTTAAGCTGAAACTTATAATAGGTAACGATTGTTGCAAATTGCAATTTACGTGTTTGATTTTATAGTCTAGGTATAGGAGGTAGTTCTATAGTAAGTTAAGTACCTACCTAAGTACCTTATTTTCCTTATGAGTTTTGGAATCACTACAAGGGGACCAAACTGTTTTCACATTGCTTGGCCCTGGTAGGTAGGCACCTAAGTATGCATATAGGTATCTATTATCTAACCTACCTATAGTTCTAACATTTTAATAGTAACTAATTAGGTAGGTACCTAATAATTATTAGGTAAGTACCTATGCGTGTACTATCCATCTACTTGTTAGGCACTTAATTGGCTTTAAGTTATTTCATATTATAATATACGCTTCAAGTCTCTACGATTAATATTTTTTGAATTAGAACAAAATAACTAAAATTGTTATTTCTTGTTTAAAATGTTAAATACTGAATTTTGTCAAAATTTCTGTAAGGATAAAATACTTATAAACCTATTACATTTTCAAGGTGGGCACTAAAAAATAATGTTTTTTATCAATATAAAATTAATTCAACTGAGAAAAAAGTATAAAATATCTATAAAAATCGAATTCCTAACCTATCAAAAATCCAACATATTTTATATATTTTTATATTATTTTTATGTTTAGAAAAAAAGAAAATTATATTATAAATGTCATATTCCTATAGTAATTTAATATTATAATATTATGAATTTACTATTAATATATTTATAGTAATTAGTAAATTTTTACAACATTAGATATTCACTCGATTTCACATGTAGCGATTTTCTTATTTTGTTGTGATTTAAAAAGAATAACTGTAGGTAGGTACATGGAAATTTCACTGAATGTTTATTTTATCAATTCTTATACTTGATAAAATTTTCAAAATATTTTGTCTTGTTTTGAGCTGTTTACGGACAATTTCATATTTAAGTTTTTTATTTTTTTTTTTCTATATAATATATTAATAAAGTTTTATCTAACACAAGACTCCTGATATTATATTGTTACAATAGCAGTTGAAAAATATTAAAAATGCATGCGCACAGTTTTTTTTATAAGCATTTAAATATCGAAACTTGACAAAATTTATCAAATTTAAAATTGAATAGTTATTTTGTAGATAAAAATGTTCAACTTTTATATCCAAGGATTGAAAATTTAAATTTGTCCGTTATATATAATATAGTAACCAAATTTGTTAACTTTGAATAGGTAACTAAACATACGATACAAAACTATTTTAACTATGTTATACTATGTTTCGGCAGTACCTTGCCAAATTAATTTTTTTACTTTATTAAACTAATAACATTTTTATTTAACCAACCTTTTAGTAGGTATAAAAATGTGAATGCACTTGTATAATGACACATTATTTTTTTCATCATTCTTGTAAACTAATTATTTATCAAAACCAATTAATTAGGTTTACTAACCCATTTAAATGCACATTATCAATAATTATAATAATAATATTTTCAATGATCTCAGCGACTGAGCATTAAATTAGTTTGTCTTATATTTTTAAAATAGTATAATATTATAGGTACTTCAACCTTTTTTAGGATTTGACTTTTGTATGTATATTCAAGTTTTTGCATTTTTTGTTTTTAAATATTGGATGTTTAATAGTTTAAACTTTAATTAGCTCCTACCCTCAACAGTCCTATCTAATACCTAGTAAATTTGTATAAAAATGATGGTTAAGTGTAATTCTAAATTTGATTCTATTTTAATTAATTCGATTTATTTCTGAGTGTAGGTATACAGTGTATACAATGCATATATACAATAATTATTATTACGAACTAAAACATATTCTTAATTAAATAAACGTGAGTAATTAACTAATATAATTCAAGAAATACTGTTTTAAGATTAAATTATCCAAGTAAATTGCATAATCAAACATAAACATTCATAAGGAAATATTCAGAGATCATTAAAATTATTTAGCGGTTTTTTAAAAATATTTATTGATATAATACTATAGATATGTAGACAGTGAAATATCTATATCTACACGATTGTATATTTTATTGATGCATTAATTTTATATAATATAAAATCTAATAATCAAACAGTCTGTGCAGTATGTTATAGCTTTTTTATTTTTTCTTATTTTATCATGCGAACAAATTATTTACCATGCACATTGCACATTATTTATTTTATTGTTTACCGCGTTGTTATAAATATTAAAAATTAAAATACAGTGTTTGGTTACAACATATTTCAAAAACAATTTCTTTTTTTTTTAGATCGAAAATTTAAAATCATTACAAAACAATATTTTTGAATAATTATTTATTTTTACTATTTTTTACATCATTTTTTGAAGTATTGATTTCATACTCCGTAGCAGAACATTTTTCTAAGAACTTCAATAATTTATAAAAATAAACTTAAACATTTAAAATTTAAATACATAGTAATTAATTGTCAAAACACAATATTTGTAACATATTGAAATTCACAGAAAATTATCATAGGTACTACGGAATATGAAAAAAAATTACGCTGTTATTCACAAATAAAAAACTTAAAAAATGATAACGATAAAAATAGAACAAAATATTGTTTTTCGAAAATATATTGTAAAATATTATACTTCACATAAAGATAATGTTTCCAAAAACATTAATACTTGTAAGACTATTTAATAAATTATTAATTTATAGTAAATTTACAGTTTATGGCAATATTATGCATAGTTACTGTACAGTGTATAGAAAACTCATGGCATGATTATAAATTATTACCTATAGATGTTTTGAATGGTAATAGTAGTAGTCGGTTGGTAACAATATACGAACAAACATCTACCATTCTTAACTTTTAAGGCTGTAATATTAACCAAAAAGTAGGTAATGAGTGATGAGTCATCAAATTTCAGTGAGATGCAGTACCTTCCGATGTACCTTATGAATTAAAAATATGAAAAAGAATTCAACAAATAATATTAGGTAGGTATACCATTTAGGAGTCTACACTCAATATTTCAAAAAGTTTTACTTTTATGAAAATATTCTTTTTACATAGGTTTGATGTCATTTAAAAAGATAATTTCTGAAAAAAAAATATTTTTACTATTTTTTATCATTATTTTATCATTTTTTTTTTTTTTTTTAATGACACCATACATTTTTAATTATATCCCACAAAATATCGTCCATTACTCAGTTCAACTGAACTTGTAAGTATTATAATTTATAACCAATGAACTACTTGTTCAAAATTTGATCTTTATAGATTGAAATACTCCGAATAATATTTTACTTCAGAATAAGAAATAAAAAATGTATGGTGTCTTTCAAAAAGCTAAAAAAACGAAAATAGTGAAAATTATAATATTTTTTTTACAATTAAATGGATCACTTTGTATGTATGTTGTATGTATATATTATATTATATATGGGCATAATATGGTAAACTCGCATTAGATTTTCTAATAAATTAATGATCATTATACTATTATAGTCACTGAAACCTCAGTTTTTTATTGGAGATAAATGTTGATTAAGTTAATCGTTTTAATGAAAATCATCATGCCAGGCGATTTCTTTTAAAAGTTGCATAATAATCATGATTCATGATGCATCATCTCGAAAAGTATTTTTTATTTATATATAATAGTTTATGTTTTTGGAGAATTCAAATTTTGCAAAAGAAAAATATCTTTAAAATCTAATTCTCTTCGCCTGGCACCTAGGTTTGATATTCGCAGCCCCTTAAGTATCCCATTATGTACCTAGTTACTATTTCAACTTTTGACTTGGGAGGCTGATATATTAAAGGCAAGCAGACCATATAGCAATATATAATTTTAAAATTGTATGTCCCAGGCTTTTTTTTTTTTTTTGGGGGGGGGAGCTACGGTATTATGTAGGTACTATTTTTGTTAATCAATCAGTTTTCAGATCGTTAGAAACTAATAAATATTCTTCCCGTTTAGTTATTTACATTATTGTAAGTACCTACTTATTGAACTTAATTGTTTGACCCAAGTATAGTATCGATGTCTTTGTGTACCAATCATTATAGTAAGTTATCCGTATCATCAATAATTCATCATACAGATAACCTAGTTAGGTAGGTACTGAGGTTAATACTCAATGCAAATTAAATTGAAATACTAATTGGTCAATGCATAATTCATATGTTCTATTGATTCTAATCTTAATTGCTTACCAATATAAGTAATGCAAAATAAATAAATAATAAAATATCAAAGTTCATCGTTTAATAGAAGTATCTACAAATAATATTGTACTACCATGTATCATAACTACATCATAACACCAGTCACCAAGTCCTAACGTACTATATTACACTTAATTAAGTACCAAAATAATAATTTTAAAGTTAAAGGAACGTCACAATATTTTTAAAAAAAACCGGCCAAGTGCGAATCGAACTCGCACACGAAGGGTCCCGTACCATCATCAGCTATAAACATGTTGACAACACTGCTTATATTATATATTCTAGGGTTTTTAGTATTTGTTGTTATAGCATCAACAGAAATACATAATCTGTGAAAATTTCAACTTTCTAACTTTCATGGTTCATGAGATACAGGCTGTTGACAGACAGACGGCCTCAGTAATAGGTTGCCGTACGGAACCATAAAAACTTGTTAAATATCGCTTTTTTCAATATTTAATGTTGCTCTTAACTGTTGACTACCTACTGTCTATTGACTGTAACTTATACTTACCTCTTACGTTTGATAGTTAACTATTTGATAAGTAACTACCTATACAACGATAATTTATATATAATACCATACAATCTTTTATACTAGGTGGCTAATTCTATGGAGTCAATCAGATCGTATTCAGCTCTCACTGCAACTGTAATAATGTTAGCCGTTTCCGAATACTTTTACAAACCGGCCATCATAGCCTATACGGTTTGTTCATTTATCGCCTATATCTTCATGTCAGGTTCGCCGAGCTTGATACATTTGCGGGTTAGTACCTATACCAATTAAGTATACAACATAATATAGAACCTAAATTATAGTACCTGGCAATTGTTACAGACAATACGACAAACATAGATTTGTGTGTGTATTAACGACGTTGACACTTGTCATTAGTTTTCACTGATAACAACCCTTAAATAATACTACCGCTTACCTACTACAGGTCGGCGTGGCTGGCATAGGTGCAACATCAAACGCCTACATATTGGGTTTCAGTTATTTGTACAGTCAAATCAGTGACAAGCAACAGTATCAAAAGGCTACCAGCATTATCTCAGTCAGCCTACAGTTAGGCATTTTCTGCGGTTCTGTACTTTCACAAATAATTGTCAGCATGACTGGAGGAATTTATACAATTCTACCGTATTTCAATGCATCCGGTAATTATTTGTCTATAGTACCTATACCTACCATTTTATTTAGTTGAATTCATGTTGTGATTGATTGGTATACTACCTATTCTAAATAATAATATACTTGTCCCGGGTTGCATAAACAATCACTAATAACATTTAACGAATGCATATGGAGAGCTAATGGTTCCTTAAACAATATTAAGGTGGGGGACGGAGTGGTCTAAGGCGTCGGTTGCGACGCAGCAGACGCCGGCTCGATTCCCGGCCGCGGGTGGAATTTTTCTTCGAGCAAGTCTCAGTGTCCGGAGAACAAGTGCCGCCATCCTCTCCTCCCCGGGGCATGACAGAAACCTACTGGTGCCCTATTAGAAATTCTGCCAAAACACAACACACACGTGTAAAAACTTACCCAATCTAAAAAAACCCACAGTTCCTTCCCCACACCCAATGGCCTATGTTGCCGCGGGTCATCCAATAAAAAAAAAAAAAAAATACTAAGTGGCCCATGGACCATGGTGGGTCCATATTAAATTGTATTGAACCATTAAATTATCAATTGTTTAGGCAAATCGGTACTGGTCATCTACTTTTTGGCTTTTAACTTGCGTTAGATTGCATGCACAGTGCACATATTTTGGATTGGAACTATAAGTAGGTACAGGAAAACAAGGAGTCATTCAGGAAAACGGAAAAATTGGAACATAATGAAGGCACTATAGAGCAGGTTATTGCGGTTGACCATGGTATATTTGTATGCACAATGAACTGCCATTACTAACCAGTGGATCGGTATCTTTAGTACTTTAGTTGCCGTGAAGACTTTTACAAAAATGGTTAGGTTAGGTTAATGTACATATAAGAACAAAATATGGACACAATCTTTAAGAAATGAATTTTAAGACATGATATTTTTAACCCTTGAACTCTTAATAGAATTTAAAGTAATTACTGTTTTCGATAAAACAATTTTTTAAATACAATTTTTTACTCATTTGAACCTCATAATATTTTCGCTGTTTCCTGGAAGAACCTGTAGGTATAATTATAATTTTTGTTATATTAAAGCCAAAAGTCTAAAGGTAATAATTTGTTGCCTACCTAGGTACATCGGTTGTACATTTGTAATAGATTTTTTTTTTTTTTTTGGTAACGTATATATGAATGCCACACGATACCGAAAATTATGCATAAATGACAGTGGATAATATGAATGGTGCCCTATAATAATTATTATATTCACAGGTTTCGCAAATACATCCCATTTGGTATACTGCTATAAAATCTCGTGTATTATACATAATATATTATATTTTTATGTGATTTGTTATCATTAGTTAATTCACTGAACATGAAATTTTAGCTGCTCTTTATTATTAAATACGCACTTGTTTAGAATAAAAATATTTTTACTTGTTTTCAGCTATGTTCTTAGCTGTAATTTGCGCTTGTCTATTTCCAACGAAAAAAAAACATTCTTTTCGAATGGAGAACGTGCTTAATGAAAAAACCCGACTTCTCGGAAATGGCTTAAAAAATAAAATCGAAATTCGTGAAAAAAATATAGTAGGTAATCGTGATATTGTATAGAAAACCGGTGTTTATATAATAAACACAAACCAGCATTAGAAAATTACACCAGATAATGGTGCCTGAGTGCCTTGACTAGATTATGTAACTATTATATCAATTTTTTTTCTAGGTTATAATGCAATCTATTAAGTACAACACTGCAATGGAAAATTCATTCAAAGGATTATTGTTCGACTTTAAAACTTCATACTCGAATACGGTCGTGCTAAAACGGTCTATTTGGTACATAATCAGTATGGGATCACATTTTCAGGTATAAAAGTACCTAATCGTATAATTATGTATCAACATATTTTCAATAAACATACTAATTTACTAAGAATTAGGATGCATCAATAAATATAATTCAAATACTGCATTGGGTATTATTAAACACTAATAATTATTTATTTTTTATTATTATTAAATATTAAAATAGGTTTTAATCAATTTAAAAAATAACTTAATACTAATAATAAATAATAAACAATACAAAAACGAATAAATTACAAAAAAAACCACAGTAGAAAAGGCCCTGAAGGTTAGGTTAGGTTAACCTATAGGTTAGGTACCTATATTCACCCTCGGCCTCACCACATTAGCAAATCATTTATATTTAATTACTTAAGATGTACAAATAATACAGTTGTTTTCTTTAACATTTTTGATAATTAATATTTAATAATAGTTAAATAAAATAGTTTAATAAAAGAGTTAAACAAAATAAAAATAGTGCCTACCTAGGTATCATAAGTCGTACAATGGAGTAAGCCATTACAAGTTCCTATGTATAATGACCGTCATGGCATAACCATGGAACTGACAATTACCAAATTGTATATACTAGGGAGCCTTTATATATATAATATTTATTATCTAGGCTCTCTAGTATATCTCTTTATATACCACATATACTATATAGTATAATATAGTATAATATAGTATAGTATAATATTATTATGATCTAAGCACTTAGCACTTATCCCTACACTTATCACTTTATATTGATTTTTTGAAGGGACACATTGATTTTATTAGGTTATTCCAAAGATAATAAAATATTCTGAACACTTGTTTCTAAAAGATAATGCAAAAAAGTAGATTTTAATGAATATGTCAGTTAGGTACGTGGTTCTGCCACGACGGTTACGAATTATGTACCTACTACTATTCCGAATTCCTACATTGGGGGATACTATTTTTTATTATCATATAATAAACTTAAGTCTGTATTTATCACAGATTATTCTGTGTATTTATACCAATGTAAGGAAAATGGAAATCATATAATTTTGTGTACTTAAAAAAAATAAATATTATGTAAATCTGTAACATTTATGTTTTATTATTGATATTATAATATATTGTAGATTATAACTAACATGAATGTATTGTACACGTACATCGTCAATAAACCAGGTAATCATGATGTCTTGTTAAACGGATACGCGGAGGCAATGATTAGTTTGTGTGGTTTGTAATTTTGTATTTTAGATTCTGAGCGCTCCGATGAATGTAATGATTTTACAATTACGTGTTTTTTTCTTTTGGAATAGTAAAAATGCTTACAAACCAGTTTATAAAAAAAAATTCAATTTTGATTTTTATTGTTACTATAAATAACCGAATAGATACATGCCATATTCACTTAATGTTTATATTAGAAATTTCTAGGCACTATAAAAATTTCGAAATATTGCGATTCTTTTTGAGGCATAAGAAGATTTCGAATTCTATTAGTTTTTTATTTATTAATGTCGATATAAAATGTTTTCTCTTGATCAAAAAACTTGAAAATGTAATACAACGGTCTTCACTAGTTTTTGTTAGTGGAAATTAGAAAATTTGTAATTAATAATTTATACTTTCTTGATTTTTAATCAAGTAAGTATGGTAATTGAAATGAAAAAAAGTCTAAATTTTGAAAACTTCAAGAATTTGTGTTTAATAGGAAAATAATAAAAATGTAACTTAGAAATAATGAGTTGGTGGTTAATTTAGCTAGCTTTAATATAAGATTGAGAGAGATTTGATATCACACCCAAGCGGTATTACCACTTGAAACATAAAAACGCCGGCGTTGAGTGGACCAAAAATTTCTATTTTTTGACTTTTCTCCTAAAGTATGATAGCTAGAAAGTTGATTGATAAATCATTAAAAAATGATTATCAAGTCGATGCAAAATGTAAAATTAAAAAACATAAAATGCTGAAAAACATAAAAAACGCCCAATAAGATTTGGTTTAATTTGTTTTAATGTTCTGTAGTGATTTATCTATTAAAGATAAAGTTCTGAAAATCTTCACTGCACTTTTCCTAACCCATGTGAATCTAACAAGACACCAAACAACGAAATCCGCTCTCTGGTTTCGGAGATCTATCTCACTAAATGAAACTGAAAATGATTTCTTGCGGGGCTGTTCACACCGACATTTTTCTGGATTCAAATTGTTATACCGCTCGAGTGTGATATCAGTTAATAAATTTCTTAAAATTAATTATCAAGAAAGTTTACATGCCGAACTCTGACTTGGCTAGAGTTGTTTTATGAGGATAACATTTTCACAAAACTCATCAAAAACACGAATATTATTGGAAAATTATTTCGAATTAAAAATTCATAAAAATTTTTCTACTAATATCTAAGATTTGAAATAAACAGTATACAAGTTTCCCTTCGTTTTAAGTTTTTCTACATTAAAAAAAAAAATGTGTACCATTAAGTCAAATTAATTTTTTACGAGCGTTTGAAGTTTGATATTCATCCATCAATTAACAAATTCTCATACAACGATTTTCTTATTTTTTCGTTATTCAAAAACTATTAACCATAGGTAATTGAGATATTCATTAAATATTTAAATGTTTATTTTATCATTTTCTATACATGATAAAATTTAAAAATATTTTGATTCGTTTTGAATTCGTTTTGAATTAGTTATAATTATTTATTTATTTTAAATTTTCTAGTTTTTTGTTCTATACATTTCAATTCAATTTTATTCGTTGATTCAGAAAGCTAGACAATTTAATACAAGGTTATTTATTTGTAGTTATAATAGCAGTTGAGAAATATTAAAGATCCATAGCTATGATTTTTTTTTTATAAATATTTAAATTTCAAATATTGACAAAATGTATCAAAATACGAACATTTTCAAATTATTTTGTATCTAATTAAAAATTATAAAATGTTCAATTTTTATACCTAAGGATTGAAAATTTAAAACAAGGATTTTCATAAATAGTTCATAGTAACCAACAAATCTAAAAATATATGAACACAGTTATCTTTTACATGGATTTCAAGTCCAAATTTGTACAAAAATACATATTACAACTAATAATAACGGTTTTAGTTATTAAAAAAAAATAAATATTAATAAATAAATAAATATTAAATTAATTAATAAATATTCATGGGTATATAAAACTTTTATAGTATTTTATTGTTTTTATAGTTTATCCACACATAGTTACATTTTCAAATGAATTTTTTTGTCAAAAATGAATTTAACCTACTGTTATACTAATGCCAATGGCGTATATACAAATTATTTTCACTATGAACCAATTTTGGCAATTTATCACTAGTCTTGCATAGCACGACTAACATAGCCATAACTATACATATTTTAGGGAGCTGGGTGGTTATAATTATGACAATTGTCATAAATAATACAAATAAAAATTGCTCAATTTAATTTTATAATTATTATGTAAAATTAAATTTTTTAATTCTTTTTTAAAAATTATTGACAATTTCATGTATATATATTTAAATGTTCTCTTACTGTGAATTTAACATTCAAAGTCATCAAATCAAGTCCTGACAATAATTTCCTTGTTGATTCCTCAAAAACGATTTTAACCAACAGGCTAAATTAATCATGGTGACAAACTGTATACAGTGTAGATATACATGAAATGCTTTAATTGATTCTGCAATTTCACTATGAGCTCTAGCCTAGGGGGCCTCCCCCCTATATACGCCCTGACTAATGCCTAATGGTAAAATAAATTACTTTAATCTCAATATTATCATTAAATATACTTATTAATATAGTAAAGACTGTCTTCGGTCAGAATCGTTTTTTGTATTCAATGATTTTATATCATTGAATTAAAATTTAACACATCCATTACAGTGACTCTATAGACACTACTTTTATCATAAATAAGTCGATACAAAGCTAAAGACATTCAACATTTAAAAATATTCACAAATAAACTAAAAAATAGCCAAAATATTTTGAAAGTTATATAATATTTTTTATATATATAATATCAATTCTCTTCGATTGTTCATTTTGGAATTACGTTCAAGAAAAAAAAAATCGATTTTGTCAAACACTTGTTTTGCGTAGGCTAAGTAGGTACCTATACATTCCCTTTTTTTAATAATTTTGTTTCCTTGTTTCCCGATTATTTAGAAAAGTACTACGTATTTCTGACACTCTTCTACCAACTAGATCCAATTTTATAAAAGAAACCACTTTCAAAATTGAAAATCAAAGCATTTTTACTGCCTTTTAATTCAAATACTAAAAAAAAAAACACACATTATATTATTGTAAAACCAATACCCATTTATTTCTACGCTCAGAATCTAAAATGTAATTATCTATATAATATATATGTACCTACATTGTGTACTTCACGATTGTATAGGCAATTTACCCAGGATTTATTTACTAATTAATTTTTTTATGTATAAATATTGCGTTTACAGGAGCTGCGGGTGCCTATCTATTTGGAAAAGTGCAGTTAGATTGGACTTATTACGGTGATGCCGTTACAGCGATTTGCTCCTCTATTATGGGCATTCTTATGATGTCATGTTATTATCACGACCATTTGTTTTTGATATATTTATCGTATATTTTATACGGTATAGTTAGTCAAATAGCATTTGTCTCAAATATGTAAGTATAAAATATTAAAATCTGTTGTACACTTTTTAAAATATCAAATAAAACAGTTAGGAATCATAATTAATTTTAAAGGTTGACACGCTTCATACTCATCTATAAACTAATTACCTACTAAATAATGTATATACTTTTTTTCAAGCTCTGAAATTGCGAAACGACTGAAGAATCAGTGTTATTCTTTGATATATGGAGTTAATTTATTTGGGTCTTTATTAATATCCACCTTCATGACAATATTTTTCGTCCAAATTAATTTCTTGGATATTTCTATTCCCGGCCGGGTAAGTTAAAACTTCAATTATATGTTAAAATTATATTATATTATATTATATTTACGACTTACGTTATAAACTTAAATATATACTTTGATGTATTACATACCTATTATTATTATTATAACACAATATTCATAGGTACAACTTCTTGTTTTTCAGTTTTTGTTCATTGGTGGTTTAGACGTCTGTCTTGGAGTAGGATTCTTATTTTTATCGTATCTCAAAATGACCAAGCCTAGACGATGAACTACACTATTATTTTGTCAATGTTATAATCTGGATAATTATCGTGTTTAATAATATTGTTCAATGAATAAAGGTATTCAATAGCATAAAATATATTGTAATTAATTGTAAAATATTAGTTGCGGGATGCCTATTAGTGATTTACATAAATTCAAATAATATTTTACTTATGAATTAGTATGATAAAATTTATCTTAATCTGAGTAAAATAAATTGTGTTTGATTTATATATGTATTGTATATTTGTATGTGATTTGTGAAAAACTAAAATAATTTGAGTTATTTGTATAATATTAGGTACCTAAGTACACATTTAGTAATGTTAATAAAAAGCTGTGAAAACCAAAAAACTTTTAATTTTTTATTAATTCAACTTTAAATTCTTATAAAAAAAATTTTGCCTATATGTATTTTTAATATTTTTACATGAGAATTTAAGTGCATATCCATGTTGTAAAAATTTGAACTTCGAACGTTCATAAAAATTTTATTTGACTTTCAGGTAGAATTTTTTTTTTTTTGATCAAGGCAGGCAAACTTATGACTTATACCTAAGGAATCTTGTATTAAATTAATATTTTAATTTTAAATTTTTATAAATTTCTAACTTTAAATAATTTGTATATTTCCGTGATTTTTACATATTTTGTCAAAATTGGACTTTTAAATGCTTATTAAAAAAAATGTTGACTGTATTTTTAATGTTTTTTATTAGGAGCCATGCATTACATTTTCAAGCTTTTTGACCAAATGAATAAAATTTTATTGACATTTATAGAAAAAATAACTAAAAAAAGGTGTGCAATTGGGTGTCTCTCAGCTGTACAGTAGCCAGTAAGTTACAAGTGGGTCACTGTAATGGATGGTGTTAAAAGTAAATTCAATGATATAGGTAATATCATTGTATAAGAAAAACGATTCTGAGCGAAGACGGTCAGTCAGCCTATGATATTACCACCAAGTATATTTTATGATACTATTGTAAATAAAGTAGTTTTTATATAACCTATTTACTTGGAACCCTGTTTTAAATTTTCAATCCTTTGATATAAAAGTGGAACATTTGATAAATTTTGTCAAAATTTGATCTTTAAACGCTTATAAAAAAAATTGTAATACAAAGCTCCTGATATATATTTTTTTATAGTAGTCGAAAAATATTGAATATACATCATGAGCTTTGTATTAAATTTTTTTACCAACAAAGAACATTTTACTGACAATTATCCAAAAAAATTCCCTTTTTCCCCTAATTTTTCATTTGTTATTCCCGGCGCTTTTGAAAACTACTGATAATTTTTTCCTCATCAATGCACTTTCCCATAAAACAAGATACTGAAGTTCAAAATCGAAGCATTTGTACTGCCCTAAAAGGTGACGACAGACACAAAAAAAACAACATAGGTATTTCATTGTATAATCAATATATTCTTTCTCTTCACTCAGAATCTAAAGCTATTTGTTTGGTACATAAAAAAGGTTAATATGATGAAAATATAAAGATACCTCTAAATGTCAAAAAATAAAATAGAAAAGTTAAAAAAAAATTTTCATTTGGAGTCATTCTGTATACATTGATGAAGTTTATAATCATACTTAGGAATGTTTTTCCGGGAGAGATAAAAGGTCAAAGGCCCCCTCCTCACTGCCAACAAATATACCACTGATTAATTTACAATTACTTTATATGTACTCATAATAAAATGTAAAGATAAAATTGACTATTTATTGTATTAAACTGTGTTAGATGTTTGTCAATAAATATATTTCTCATAGCTACCTAAGTAACAAAAATATTAACATAAAATCTATGTAACATATCACTGAGAGAAAATTATTTTGAAAATAGGTATATGTATTTTAAATTGAATGTATAATACACTAAAAAATAATATATAAAACTGGTTTTGGATTGCCGGTGTAAAATATCAATCAACATGTTTTGTTAGTAAAAATGGAAACTGTTTGGTCGAAACAAAAACTTAAAAAGTCAAACATTTTATTTTAATATATTAATATATTATTTAATGTATACATTAGTTAAGTTGTAAAATAATAAATGTATACCAGTGCCGTAGACAGGAATTTAATATGGTCTGAGGGGGTTCGACATAGTAATAAAAAAATGCTTTAAAATATGTTAGTAGGTAGTTTTAAATGTTTGTGCTTAAATACATTTATATACTTTTTTTATTGCAATGAGGGTTTGAACTCCCTAACTCTACCCTCCTCCCCCTTGTCTACGGTCCTGGTGTTAGTGATGTTTAGTGACAGTAATATTGGTTACAAACCAATATGTAAATATTAGAACGACTTGATGTGAAATTTGGTACTGAGTAAAAGCTGTAACTCTATCTACATCAATATTTAAGACTGATAAACAAAAATTACAACGTAATTATCATGCGAAATTTTAAATTTTTCTAGTTTATTTATCGATGATTGCTAAGTAATCACATATTCACATAAGTAAACAAAGTATTTGCTTCTTCGTCAATTTATTGTGCAAAATACTTAATATAATTAATAGGTTATAATTAATAGGTAATAGCAATGATTTATATTACCTAGTTTGATAGTTTGCTGTTTACATATATAGTCTATAGCAGTGGTTCTTAACCTTTTTAAGGCTTCTATCCCCCTGAGAATTAAAATTTTTTATATCCTTCCCCTATGGTAAAACGACTATTGAAAAAATAATATATTGAAATGATGTTGTTTATTTAAAAATTACAAAAAGTGACGATTAAAAATTAAGCTAGAATAAGCTGGTTTATTTATGTTAGGGTTCAATGCTAGTGAGACAAAGACGTGAGTCTCTCCTCTCTTAACAATGTCGAGTCAATTTTTTCTTTTTTATACTTGGATCCGTCACAGCATTGAATTCTCGCTGAACGAGATATAATGAGAAATAAGCAATTAATAATTTTTGTATGATAGTCCACAGACCAGAGTATAAGTGACAGATTTCAGCTTGTAGCCAAAAAGCTGTGTCCTTAAGCTATCTTTCAACTTTATAACAACTATAATAACTATAACCTAATAAGTAGATATGGCCTACCATAGCTGGTAATAAGATAATAGGTGAATTCGGGCTATGGCTTAAAAACTACATCCATGAAACAGTCGTATATTATAATCTATAGGTATAGACGCCACCGAAATTATCTTTTTCCTTTTAAGATATTTATCGATTGCGAAAACAAATGAGAGATAAACAATCGTGGGTCATTCATAGTATATTGTTTATATTAGTATTTATATTTCATTTGAATAAAGTAATATGGTAAAATGCAGTTTTAATGTAAATACATACTCAACACTCCATGGGAGAGGGGTGATATCGCTCACGTTGAGAACCACTGGTCTATTAATACTGATGATTAAACACCATTTCTGTATTTTACAACAAATAGATCTGAAGTCAGAAGTCTATATCTTAGTAAATACTAGTTAACTATAAAATACACATGGTTTTTTTATTTTTATTTTTTTATTTCACATTGGTAATTATAGATTATAAAATTATATAATTAACGTAGCTTGATATCGAGTGTTGTATCATATAATTATTTATTCTTGAAACAGATAAACTTAAAGTTTGTTACATTGTGATCGTCAATGTGATACGTATAATAAATAAAATTTAATACCTACATAATATATTTTATAAAAAGTATAAGATTTCATTTCGTACTTTAAAATAAAACAAAATATGATAAAATTATTAATAATGATAAAACAATGTTTTCAGTTATGAAAAAATGGGAAAAAACTACATACATGGTTGCCATTTATTTGTTTTTACTGGAACTTCGGCCACTAGAACCATTTATGACGGCTTATTTAATAGGACCAGATGCAGACTTGTCTCTTAACGAGGTAATGACAGTTATATAATATTAAACCACTAAACGTTTTTTGACTTATTGTATTTTGTCCAAAAGTAACACTTATCTGGCTGACGGCTGTAATAATTGAATTCTGTAATGAACATGTCAGCAGTGACTGAGTAATGCGTTCCTAGTTATTGCTTCATTGTCAACCAAATTTAATATGATAATTGATTTAGATAATATACATACAAATATACAATGATTTGATATTATGTAGTGAGAAATTACGTTTTTAATAGGTACAAATGTACAATAAGAATAATTATGTTATTATCATATAACCAACAAATAATCTAACTAGGTACCTACCTTAAAATTGTTAATTTTTTGAAAGTTAAAAATTAATATTAACAATTTTAAGATAGGTACCTAGTTAGATTATTTGTTGGTTTTATAATAATAACATAATTATTCTTCTAAATAGACAATTTAAATTTATTGTTTATGGATACCTGTCAAACTTTGCCATATCATAGTATACACATTACACAGCAACTAAGAAGTGTCAGTAACTTAAAAGATTTATCTATTTCTTATAAATAGATCATATATTATTAGCTGTATAATTATGTTCAAACATTAATTATAATAAATATATGTGATTATTATATACTATCATAGGTTGGGCATCATGACCTCTACTCAACAGTCATATCATATCATATTTAAATAATAAATACTAAATATTATTAATAATAATAATATACTTGTCCTCTTTGAATTTATAGATTATACATAACAAAACCTTCAATAAAATGTCAATTCTTCATATAGTGTATACATCTTTTTTTTCCTTTCTCTTATTATATAAATTAATGTTTTTTTTGTCTGTTCGTCATATTTTATAGATTCCAAAATGATTGCACCGTTTTTAATAAAATAAATAAATAAATTTTATTCATAGATTCATTAATTTATATTTTCGTTTTTCAACCCCTATAGGTCGCTAGAGAGGGCGGTACTTTTACTTAGTTTTGGCTCACAAATTTGAATATGTTTTGTTTACCTATGTTTAGAGTTGCTATTGGTTACATATAATAAATAATAAATCTTATACATAAAAATAAATTGCTGTTCGTTTGTCTCGCTAAAACTTGAGAACGGCCCCACCGATTTGGCTCAAATTTTTTTTAAGATGTTCGTAATTGCCTGGAGAAGATTGGAACGAAAGAAAATTTTAGGAAAATCCACCAGCAAAGTAAAAAATTTGAATGTCAAAAAAATACAATAGTGGCGCCATCTGTCCAGAAAATAAATAAATTAAATAATAAAAATATTTGTTTCAGATTAAAATAATAATAGTGTATGGTATATTGGTTAATTGGGCATGTTTGTTGATTTGTATTATTGTTATTGTTTTATTTTTATTTTTTATTCGAGAATGGCTGGTCCGAAATGGCTCAAATTTTTTTTAAGATGTTCGTAATTGCTAGGAAAAGATTATTATACTTGGAAAAATTTTAGGAAAATCAACTGGAAAAGTAGGAAATCTGGATGAAAAAATACAACAGTCGCGCAACAGTATATTATAATTTATATTGGTTGCTATTGGTTAATCGGGCATGTTTGTTAATTTGTATTTTGTTTTTTGTCAATATAATATATATAAATAAATGAATGTCTGTGTGTAGATTAGACCTCTGCAAAGGAGACAGACTAATTTAAAAATGGTTCAATTTGGTTTTAGATTCTGAGCGGAGCGATGAATGTATTGGTTTTACAATGATGTATGTTTTTATATTTTTATTTACATTTTTATATTTTTGTGTCTGTCATCACGTTTTAGGACAGTAAAAGTGCTTCGATTTTCTTCAATAGTACCTTTTCTGATAGGAAAGTGAATCTAGTTGGTACTTTGGGGGGTCAAAAGTAAACATTTCCCAGTAGTTTTCACAAGCGCCGGGAAAAACAACATAAAAATTAAGGAAAAACGGGAATTTTTACGCAAAATTGGTTTTCCAAAAATCGATTTTGGTTATTGGTGTAACTCTAAAACAAATGAACGTATATACATGAAATTTTCACTGGTTGTTAATATTTGCATTTTCTATACACGATAACATTTTCAAAATATTTTGATTTATTTTGAACTGTTTAGGGACATTTTCATTTTCCATTTTTTTTTAGTTTTTTTTCTAAAAATATCAATACAATTTTATTTGTTGGTTGCGAAAGCTTGAAAATTTAATAGAAGGCTCCTAATATGTTGTTTCAAAGGCAGATGAAAAATATTAAAAATCCTTAGTCACAATTTTTTTTTATAAGCATTTAAAGTTCAAAAATTGACAAAATATGGAAAAATCACGAAAATTAGCAAATTATTTTGAGTTAAGAATTCGCAAAAATTTTTCTTTTTAAATCTAAGATTTGAAAATGTAATATAAGATTACTCATAAGTTTGTCTACCTTTATCAATAAAAAATCTCTACCGGACAGTCAAATTAAATTTTTATGAGCGTTTGAAATTCAAATTTTTACAACATTGGATGTTCACTCGATTTTTCATGTAGCGATTTCCTTATTTTGTTGTAATTCATGAACGAATAACTATAGATATATGAAAATTTCACTGAATGTTTATATTAGCATTTTCTATACACCATACAATTTTGAAAATATTTTGACTCTTTTTAAGCTGTTTACGGACATTTTCAGTTTTCAATTTTTTTAGTTTTTTTTTTTATAATTGTCAATAAAATTTTATTTGGTGGGCCAAAAAGTCTGAAAATTGAATACAAGCTTTCTTATATATTGTTACAATATCAGTTGAAAAATTTTAAAAATACATAGGCACGACTTTTTTTATAAGCATTTAAAGTTGGAATTTTGACAAAATTTATCAAAATCTCGAAAATAATCAATCGTTGGAATTAAAAAATTATAAAATGTTCAGTTTTTATAACTAAGAGTTGAAAATTTAAAACAAAGATTCTCTTAAATAATTCATACTGTAACCAAAAAATCTAAAAAATATATAAACACACTTATTTTTTACAGACATTTTAATTTCAAGTTTAGACAAAATTTCATATTTAAACCAAGAATTACGATTTTAGTTATTTTGTTGTGATTGTATAATATTATTCGTGGGTACTTGAAATTTCTAAAGTAATCTACTATATATATCTATGATAGTATCAGGGTTTGTTGTTGGTGTATAACGCGTTATAAGTACCTAATGGATATTGTGATATGATTAATTTGGAATTCATTATAGGTCAATTTTTTTTAATACCATAGATATGTATATAATATGTCTTTTACCTAGAAGGACATACCGTCTCCGCTCAGAATCGTTTTTCTTATACAATGATATTATATCATTGAATTCAAATTTAATACCATCCATTATACAATGACCCACTTGTAACCTACTGTACAGCAGAGCGACACCCACTTGCCCACCTTTTTTTTTATTCATCTGATATTAGTATGGTTAGGATTTTGTATTAACTGATTGTTTTAATCCACCATTAGTGGAATATAACAAACTTGGTATAACTTTGATACTTTAGAGTTAAATCATACATTTACGTACAAACATCAAGGGGTTCGCGATCTACCGCAGGTAGATTGCCTACCTGATAATATACTGTTGCGAATCAGAATTATTATTATTATCCCGGGTAACGGAAAAGTTAGTAAATTTTGAACACCATACACTGAATATTAAATAACGAATTGAACAAAGTTTGAGTCATATAGATTTGGTACATTTAACGGGTAACGGAGTACCTACACGGGATCAGCTAGTATATAACAAAAAGTTATTATGATTGGAGATAATTGTATATGATTGATGTTTAAATAATACAAAAATACTCAACAGATTATAAAAAATGACAGTTGAGAATATTTCAACTAAAGAAAAAAGGAAACGATAGATATATCGATAATAATAGAGAGTCGTCGTATTAGTCGGGTTATATCTAAATGACGTACTTACATGCAATTTTACAGTTTTTGATCAATTGGCACCAAATTTTTTCAGACCTATTATTTGCTATCCCGAGCGGGCCAAGAGGGTAAGAGTATTAGAATAGAAGCCACGGGCAACAGCTATTATAATATATATAAAAGGCTAAGAGTATTTCTGAGGTTTATACTAGTGTACTACTATACTCAACCAATATTTATGATTCAAGGAAACTTTAGATATATATATTGAACCAGATATTTTATGTAGAATTACCTGTCATTAACAATATTAAAATCACATTCGTTTATTTCTGCATGAAATTAGTTCACGTAAGAAAAAAATATTAAGTACTTATTACCATCCGCCGCAGGTTAGCGTGGATTGCTCATCTCGGCTTCATTTATCCCCAGGGAACGCCGAACCTACGGCTAGAAGTAAATAAACAAATGAAGTTATACATTTTAAAATATTTTAAACATAAAAAAAAACTTGGTTGTTTTTTAGATAAAATGTTGGAAAATTTAAGGGGTAATAGAAGGTAATAATAGAAAGATATAATAATTTCAACCCGGATAAAGTCAGTTAATACAGCTAGCATAAAATAAAATAGCTTTAAGGGGATTCGATACCGTGATTTTCTGTGTTTGTCTAACACACACGCGACATAGTATATTAGACGTGCTTTTGCCAAACATACCAATTGATCTAATGACAATTCTAAAAACAGATTTGAAATTGTCGTCACGTTTGTTAGACTTAAACAGAAAACCACGGTATCGAATCCCCTTAAAGCTATTTTATTTTATGCTAGCTGTATTAACTGACTTTATCCGGGTTGAAATTATTATATCTTTCTATTATTACCTTCCGTCTTAGTTCCGTAGAAATATACAATGCAAATACAACTACAATGATAAGTTTTATGATTTTCCACTTCTTAATATTGTGGACATATTTTTAATTTAAACACCAAAAACTGGAGACAAATTCAACAAATGCTTAAAAGCCGATATTTATAAAACCAATATCGTTAAGACTGGTTATTCGTCTTTCTGGGTTTACAGAAGTCCAGAATTAAAAAATCAAATTGAAGTTTTTAAATGTAATCATTGTAATTATGTTAATAATTTAAATTTTTTTATTAAAATATAATATATTTATTTACATTTTTATATGCCATAATATATTATTTGATATTTCTATCAATTTAATTTCAATTTTAATAATAATATAATCTGTAATCAGTGGCAACCATTTAAATAAACAATTCATGTGTGAGCCACCCTATGGCCAATTTGGCCACATATAGGGATTGAAATCTTAGCGTTTTGCTATAAAACGTTCTCATACTCTGATTATAATTTACTTATACTTAGACCTCTCTTGAATTTAATGATCTTGAAATCTTCAGTCATTATCGTAAAACTAATTGGTACATTGATCGTCCCGCTCATTATGTTACATTTTTACAGGTAGCCACCGTGATTGAGTACCTCAAAACATATTCATCGCTATTAATATCAGTGTTAATGTTTATGACTGCTGACTACCTTATGTACAAGCCAAACATTATATTTTTGACTGTTTGTTCATGTGTCGCTTATTTCCTCATGACGGGTTCACCCAGTGTTACGCAGCTGAGGGTTAGTACGATTGATTATTCCATAGATAATAGTACCTACCTATAGATCACAATTAAATTTGTTTTAATGATGCTCTACAATATTGTTTTTTTTATGTAATACTGAGTGTAGCTGTCCTCGTGTGGTATCGGGGCAATATATAGCTGTGATATGATAGCATTCTGTTATTTGTATGCTAAAATCGAGGACGTAGAAAAATTTCAGATGGCCACTGCTATTGTTTCGGCAGCCATACAACTTGGTAAAGTTGTCGGAGATTTCTCAGCACAAGCTATAGTCAACTTGACCGGAGGGATTTATACTGTCTTGCCATACTGCAACGTGTTCAGTAATAAGACGATTTATAATATGTTATAAATATTATGTATAATTATTTTTATTCACAGACACGATACAAGATTTATTTAACTATTTAAAAACTTACATTTGTTTTATAAATATTTATATTTATAATTATTAATTTATATTATTTATTTATATTATTATTCATGCTTTGCATAAAATATATAGGTAAATCCCATTTATTTGTTTCAAGGTTTGTTGTTAGCTACAACCTGGGTTTGTCTGTTTCCATCTGTCGAACAGAATAATGATAGACTAAATTCAAAAGTGCCATGCGAAGATTCGGCACTTCTTAAAAACTGCGTAGAGAGCAAAACGAAACATTTTAAACAAAATAAAAGTAAGTATAGATTCGTAAACAACATAAACTCTTTGTTTCTTATTATAATTCACTATGTTTACTTAATAATTTAGTTACCTAATTATGTTACTCGATGTAGATAATGTATATTTAAAGCTGTTATTGTTCTTTTATCTAATAGATACAATCGAGTTCGACGAAGATTACAAAACTGTGGTATTTTTCTCCAAAGAAATATGGATGAACTTCAAATCTTCATATTCAAATCCAGTTGTACTGAAAAAAAGTTTATGGTATATAGTGGGTATGGCAGCGTATATTCTGGTAAATCAATTTTTAAAATGTATTGTGCTTATTTAGTTATTTAAAATATTGACGAAATTGATTATAATATCGACACATTAACAGAATGGACCTCCTTGCTCAGCATATTTTCCTGATTTCATGTTGTAGGTTCATGGGAAAATGGGAAGTATAGTAATCCAACATGTACAAACATAATAATAAAAATAAGTTAGGCAGTAGTTGCCGTTATTTTGTTTTGTTTTATTTTTTATACAACAGTGATAATTTATATTATTATTATTATTATTATTATTATTTGGTATAAATAGCTTTATTACTGTATATTTTTAGGTAGTATTTACACAGAATAAATTAAGTTATTTTTATTTCATTTGTTTTGTGGTAAATTTTGTATTTCTAATAAAATATACTTACTATAAATTATTGTATAGTTAAATTAGTACCTATGTATGTATAATGTGTCTAAAAAATGGGTCTAATATAACTGTTATTTCTTCGGAATTTGAATGTTTAGTAAATGTATATTATATTTAATGTTACAGGTCTTAGCTAACATAAACGTTTTGTACTCGTACGTAATCAAAAAGCCCGGAAATCACGATGTCTTGTCAAATGGACTTGCCGAGGCAATGGTTACGTTATGTGGTTAGTATTTCCCAATTTTTTATAATCAAGTAATAATTATTATTTATAGGAAAATAAATAATAATAACCAATATTAAATTTTTTCTGAAATACAATAAATTAGTGTTATCATAATCCTTTCAATATGGTTTTGTCGATTTTTGTCAGAATGGCGAATTTATATAAATATATTTTACAGGAGCCGCGAGTTCGTACCTAATTGGAAAAGTACAATGTGATTGGGAGCGCTATGGTGATATGTTCACCGCATTTTGCTCTATTGTCATGGGAGTGCTAATAATGTCATGTTACTTATATGATAAACTCATTTTTATATATTTGGCATACATATTATTTGGTCTAATATGTCAAATGCATTTTGTCATAATCTAGTGAGTAAAATATATTTTTAATAGTCTGATAGTAGGGGATAGGATACAGGCTGTGTCATACAGCCATGCACGGTACAATAATAATTATAATATTATTACCTATGTAAACATTTATTTTTTGGGGAATTACAAAAAAACTATTTTATTCTAATGTGCCTTGTAGCATCGTTCTCTAAGTTCGAAATGATACACTGTTGATGTATTTAAAAAATAGAATCTCTATGATTTGCCTAGTACTAAGTAGTTAGTTAACTTTTACTATATTTTGATACTTAAAGCAAGCAATATCAAGCAATATAAATGGACATAATACGGAATTTTGGCGTCTATTAATATAAATATCTCAATGTTACCAATAATTTATTTTTCTAATATAAATCCACTAGGTCCAGTACATAATATAGGTACCTAAGTACATGATTTATTTCAAATTTTTTCAACCTTTGTATAATATTGAATAGTTTCAGTGTATCAATTTTTTTTACTAATTTCAAAATCTATTTCTAAAAAACAAATCTAAATTCTATTATAGTGAAAATGCTAATGGGGTGATCGATATATTTTTTTAAATCTGGATATATTGAGTGTCCACAATATCAATATGAATGTAATTTATTTGTTTCTGTACTTATAGCACCGAAATTGCAAAACAGCTAAAGAGGCAGTGTTATTCTTTAGTAATAGAATTCAATTATTTTGGATCTTTAACGGTGGTCACTATTTTGACATTATTTATTGTTCAATATAATTTCATGAACATTACTATTCCTGGGAGAGTAAGTCAAAAACTTCATATTTTACACGATTATTTACATATTTTCTTAAAAAAATATTAAATTAATGTTAGGTGGTACATGTATTATTAATTAACCTTTTTAACCATAATATATTTTATTTTGTTTCAGTTTTTGTTCATTGGTGGCTTATATTTTATGCTAGGTATAATATTCATGTTTATTTGTATACTTGAGATTAGAAAAAATAAAACATTATACTGACTATAATAGTAAGATTTTTATTTATTTTTTAGATTTTAATTTGATGTTTATTATTATTTAAACCATATTATTATGATTAAAGCTGCTAGAACTAGGAGTTCTAATTAAAAAATATACAAGTGCTTTCACGGTTTTCGATAAAACAAGGGTTTTACTAATACATACCTATAATAATGAAGTTAGATACAAATATGCCCAACGAGTAAAATGCATGTCATGTAGAGACTTCTTTGTTGACATATAATAAAAATAATTCGTAGAACAACATTGACCATTGTATTTGTTATCTAGGTAGAATATATACATTATTAAAACTATTTATTTATATTATGTACCTACTATGAGACATGAGTTCACTATACATTAATTACATACTTATAACTGATATGAAAATATTGTAGAATGATATTGATCTTAAATCTTAAATCTATAATCTTTTTAGTGATATGGTTATATTTTCAATAGCATTCAAAATAGGTAGCTTAAAATATTATTCTTTACTGAATTCGATAATCGACAAGTGGCAAACATTTAAAATAATTTTTGTCCGAAGGGTGAAGACATGAAATTTTGCTTAAAAATGTACAGCACTTGTCTTCTGTAAGGATAAATAATTTTTAAGAAATAATTTGTGTTTAATTGCACTTTTATGGTATTATATTCGCTTAACCTGTCCGGACGATAACTGCAACGCCATTTACCGCCTTCGTTTTGAACCTTTCAAGTTTCAACACATCCATGACTAACTCACATTAGCCGCTAGACAGTGCTGTCGTATATGTTTTTGTTTTAATGTTATAATTTATTGTATTTTTATCTTCATAAAGATTGTCGCTATACTAACTAGATTACATTTTCTACCAGAAACCACCCTTTTATATTAAACTGGAGCATGTTTTTACTTCTTATTTCCAAACTGTTATGACAAATTAAAAAAAAAAAAAAAACAATTTTAAAGCCAATATTTTCATATCTCCGCTCAGAATTTAAAATATAATTACAAATCTATTATTCGATTCAAATATTTGAAAAAAAAATAAAATTGATGGATGCATTTTCAATAAATATTATAGTTAAGACAATTCGATATACTAACCCATAATAATATTAAACTTTACGGAGGGAAAATCAGAAAGTTAAATAGTTTTAATAAATATATATATACCTACATTATATACCTTACCCACCTTCCCCAATATTAACAATATTAAATTGTTGTTTTTATGAAACTGATATAGACATTGATCATTCTGAGTAATATTTTAATATTATACATGGATCATTATAGTGTTTTTTGTACTTCTTTTATATTGTAATGTAAACTTTGTGCATAGCCGTTGGTTGTAGTTTTATCTGATAAATGATAATAATATTACCCAAGTAAAGTTACATTTTAAATAATAGCTATAATTGATACACGTTAATCATACAATATTTTATTATGTATTTTATTATCAAAAATTAATCTGGTGTATCGAATAATATATTAAGAAAACGATTTAACAAACTCAATAAATCATAATATCTACATTATTTTGTATTCAGAATTATCAAAAGTTCATCTATAACCTTAAAATGTTGTTTAAAATAACAAATAAATTAGTTTAGTCATTATAATAATATACCTAGCCACCTAGGTAAATAGAAATGTATTACACTATAATTATATATTATACAAACAATTAATATAATTATTGCTCTTTATTAATACAGTGTAATAAAATATGTTTGATTAACTATGTAGGTTATTGAACAGAAATATCTAATTTTAATTGTTGAGATTTATTTATACTGTGCAATTTCCATAATTGTTATTATGATTTGTAGCCTTGTAGGTAATAATATCTTAATTTAAAAGTTTAGTTAAAAACGTATGTTATCGACACTCAAAATTGTGTCAAGAAATAATATTTTTATCGAAAAAAAAAATAAATGTTTTCTTTAAAAATATAATAATATCATACTTGTACCTATAAGTAGTGACTTTTCATTTAGTACATTTTTTTTCATTAATTTTAATTGTACAACATTCCATCAAGTCTTATCACTTTATTCTATTACAGTTTAACACTACGCATTTAGTTTGAATGTTCACAGATTTATTCACATATATTATTTTTTTCATATTTTTATTTACGATAACAAGTGATAAACTGATCATTCCGTTCTACATTTTTTTTCAATTTAATGGTATAAAAATTTGTGATCTCATCATTTATATTATGTATAAGTATAATAAGTATATAGGTACATGTTTGGCAACCACTGTTTTTATCCATTTTTTTCGTTGTGTTCAAAAGACGCCATAAATTGTTTGTTAAAAACCATATTGCGTAGCAAGAGCCACTTCGGCTATGTTAAAAAACCAAATTTCGACTATAAAAAGAGAAGAACTTTGACTGTGGAATATTTTTGTTATTTTTCATAATCACTAATATAGAAAAGTTATAATTATTTTATAATCCGTTGTTTTTAGGTTTTTCAAACTAAAATTTTTTTTTCAACCGTAATACCAAAAAAAAAAAGTAATATTGCACAGTAAAAGTTCTTCTATTTTTAAAGTAAAAATTTGTTTCTTATCTATAACTATAGTCTTCTTGGTTCTATCTCATGTAAAAGCATTTGTATGTATAATTTCGTATAATATTACACATCAACAAATATCATCGTTAATGACCACTGATACGTAAGTACTTTGGTTTTTGAATTAGTATTTATATATTATATTTAAAATATAATCGTTTATTTATTATTTTTATTTACTGAACCTGGACCTCTTTAAAATCAAAAAAAAATTTCAAAAACTAATTTTCCCCTTAATTATCCGAGAAAACAACCATAATATATACACAAATATACTATGAAATGTTTGACTACCTGCAGTGACTTAACATAAGTATTTGTCTATACCTAACACTTATAAGGTCTACTAGAATAATAAAATAATTCAATTGTATGTTTAAATCATGGAGTTATAAGAATTATTCTAATTACCTACTTTATGATTTAAATATTCTCTCAGTTTTGTATATTCTAAATATCTAGAATCGATAAATATTTTTCCATTTCTTTATCGGTGTACTTATTTCCTATAATCTTTTTGCATTATATCAGCCATTTTTCATCAATAATTGTTCCTATTATTATTGTTTTGGATAACTATTACCGTTACGGAGAGGAGAAATAATTATAATTAGTACTTTTTAATAATTAATAGTAGTATTTAATTTTGGGTTTACCTTAACGGCTTAATGACTAAACTTAAAATGAAAATGTATTCCTGTTTCTTAAGAACTCGTGGTAAAAGCTATATTTTATATAGGTAATTTTTATAAATAATTTAAAAATTATATGCTATTGCATTAATGTTTAATAATTTCCATCAGTTATTCAAGTGGCTATATATGTGAGTTCTTAAGTTTCGGTAGGAGGCGCACAAGCACGACGATTGTGAAACCGTCGAGACTCGAGACAATAACGCGACTCTGCATACAATGAAGAAAACGTTTGACGCAATCGACCTATACGCTAACGTTAAATAGCGTAATAATATATTATATTGTTTCCACAGTGGGTTCGCCGTCTAGCCGACCAGGAATTGTATATTCCCAAAACGATGTACAGGAATAGACTGGCGATCGCCAGTCTTTGCAGCAGCCCCCTCGGGACGTGCTGTGGTTATCCTGGAGCTGTGTAATCCGTGGATTATTTACTCTTGGCGGTCAAACGTTGAAACGTACTGTATATAATATATACTAACCCGAACAGCGACGCTGTAATATTACCAGACAGGGATATGGTTATATGGATGTATAGGTAATGCGCTAAAGAAATGTTAAAAGGTATGCACTTAAATAATAATAAGAGTAATATGAAATTTAAACATATTGTATGCCATTGAAATACCACCATTGCACAATGCACATGTAATTATCAACAAGTTTGAACTCAGTTAAATATTATTTCGCATTTTTTTCTGTAGTTTGAAATTTAAATTGACTTAAGTGGAAAAAACATTTTTTTTGAATGATTTAAGTAGGTATATTTTTTACATAAAGAATTTATTAAAAAATGTCAAAGAATGTTGACTATATTATTATAATTTTATATCACGTCAAAAACAAAAATGTTAGTTTGTTAACTTTATCCAAAAATCTTATTTTATTTGTATTAGCTATAGTACCTTTTAGCGGTTATAGGTATTTAGTTATAAAATATAATATGGATTAAAAATCGCAAATATTTACATTGAAATAACTAAAATTTGCAAAAACATAAATCTATTCTTAGAATTTTTGAATAAAAATATTTTTTTATTTAATTGTATGTCTTCTATTGTACTTTTCGAACGAATATGCAAATGACTTTCATTATTACATACTCCCAGGCCGTCAACCACCCCCCCCCCCCCCCCGATATCACTGAGTCAATTTAGTAGACACCTTAGGTATTTTAATCTAACAGACTTGAACAGGCACTGAGGGCATAGGCAATCCAGCCGATCTTTTCATTCCACCACACCAATCTGAACGACTGACTGGGTAGGATGAAATCGGTCGTAGCGCGTCGTCAAGACTGCGCCCGAGTACGATATAATATTATTATCTTCGTATTATTTACGTGACTGTATAGTTTACCCTGTTGGAAAAGTCCGGGCACGCCTGCACTATATTATATAAATGTCAGTGTTGTAAAGTATTTGAGTAAAAAGTATGCAAATTACTTTTGTTGGTATCGAATACTTTTTTAATGATATTTTTATCGTCTATAAAGTATATTTTTAAATACTTATTATTGGTACTTACCTATTGAAATTAATTTATATTTTCGGATGATTTAGTTTATTTTATTAGTAATGATTTTTCGTCAATAATTGTTATTTCAAATTTTAAATGTATCCCTACGTAAAGTATAGTATAGTAGTATAGTAAGTTGGTTATACAAATAATTTAGGTGCCTACGTAAGTGATTATAATTTAAACGTATTTTTAAAGTAATCT